CTGCCTTCCTTTCACATTCCCAGAGCCTCCAGTCTGGCTCATACTACCCAGAGTTCCCCCTACTCCAAACATCAACACCCTGCTCAGTGTGATCTGTCTAACCACCTCCCATCTATCAGGACACCAATACTATCCTTTCCCCACTAAAAAACCTTCAGTGACTCCTCCTGGTTCACAAGTAGTGGTGATACTTAAAATATGTCCCCAATCCTTTCTAGATGCCCAGCATTAAACCTCTAGTTGCTAATTCATGAGGCAGTCCAGAGGTCCTGTGGGAAGAAAGTGGGAGTACTTGGAGAGCTCAGAGAAGGAACTCCAGAGGGATTTTAAGTCTGGTGTCAGCCCCACCTTTGGGCAAAGCCCAAGTCCTTGGCCCTTCACCATCTGGTCCTATCTAACTTTCCCAGTCCACTGACACTGCTCCTTCCTCTGCCCCAGTGGATTGATCTGTTGGTCTTTGAACATCCCTCCATTCAAAATTTCCCAACTCCATGCTTTTCCTTTACTGGGTTCTGCTTAATCCAAATGCTCTTCCTATCCCCTAGTACCAACATGTCTGTCTTCAAGACTCAATTTCATGGAAGCCGCCTCCCCAGACCAGCCTATCATTGAGTTCTTTTTTTTTTTTTTTTAACTCATTGCATTTGCCACTCTTTAGGCAACTGATCATGAACAGCCTGTGACGGCTCCTCTATTACAATCAGAAACTGTTACTTAAAGCTTCAATGACCTGATTCTATTTAGTCTCCCCATTCAGTGTATTCCCTGATAGGCAGGGGGGACTGTAGCACACATAGAACAGGGCACACTACAAAGCAGATAAGCATCAACAAATGGTTACTGATAGAGCTGGTGGGAGATGGGGACCAAAGTTTTGAGGTAGGTTACCTCTGACCTTCCCACTGCACAGGCACTCACCCCAGGTGCTCCACTGCCCAGGGCCTGCCCTCCCTGGCTCAGTGCCCTCATGGTACCCCCACCACAACCCCATCTAAACACCCAAGACTTGTTACTACTTTCAAAGTCCTTTTCCCCTAAAGAAACTTCCCTGTCCAGTTTCTTTCCTACTTAAAGTGTTAAAACAGCTAATCTGATAAACTAATCTGTGCTGGTATAGTTATGGGAAAGGGCTAGAGGAGAACCTCAGGAGAGAGGTTCTTTTTAAACAGTTAAATGACACTTAACCAGTCATGGGACAACAACATCCCTGACTTTGCAATGGTTTAAGGGAGTCAGGAGTCAAGCAATGATCCTCACCTCCCAGCAGCTGATGTGTCACCACTTAGTCCTCGCTCCCACAGCACTTTGTATATACCTCTTATTGTAGCACATAGCACAATGTAGTTCTTTAATTATGTGTTTATTATGTATGTTTCCCCTCCAATAGACTGTGAGCTCCTCAAGGACAGGGACTGTGTGTTAGTCACTGATGTATCCCCCAGCGCCTAGCACAGTGCCTGGCACACAGTAGGTGCTCAATAAATGTTTATTGAAAGGATGGATGAGTCCTGATTCCAATTATGGTGACTTCTGCCCTATACTATGGCAAGCAAGAGGAGACAGAAGGATAACCCATACTCAGGAGATATGGCAGCATGTTGATCCATCATATAACAACACTGCAGGCATCTATTTCATTTGTCAACATCTGTAGCTATCCCATGCACAACAAGGTCCACAGTATTTCAGAGCTGTTCTCAGCTATGCTTTGCTGCCTATCACCCAGTGCCATAGGCTCTTGAACTGCCCTTTACCACTGTCTCTTTCCAGGGACTGCCTCACTATTATTTCCTCATGTCTGGGTGGGACTGAGTGGTGGAAATGCAGGGCCCCGGTGGACAAGACGGGACACTTATTCTGACGGCCACAAGCCTCCTGACCCCATCAAGTAATCTGAAAGAGCCAGTTGCCTCTGGCACCAAAGCTCCCCCTGCCCAGGCCTATGATGAGCCAACTTTTGCGTCCTGGGGTCCCAGTCTCCGAGAGCCTAGGCCCTGGCGCCCGGACATGGGGCCGATGTCCAGCAGGTGGCGCTGTCGAGCTGGCAACGGCGGGCGGGCTGCCCAGCGGCGCTCGGGAAGGAGGGGAGGTCAGGGCGGGGCCTACCGCTCTTCCAGGAGGCGGCCGCGGCCTGCGCCTTCCCGTACCTCGTCTGTGCCCCCGCGCCCCCAACTATCCCTGGGCAATTCCAGCCGAGGGCTCCATTGCTCTGGAGCTTCGAACTTTCCCTTCCGCCTCTGCCCCCTCCACTTTCGGAGGGGAATTTAGCAGTCCATTAACTGCCTTCCCCCTATTGGCCAATCGTGCTCTGGTCCCGCCCCCGAGCCCTCCCTCCCCCGGCCTTGCGGACCAGCAGGTGAGCACGCGGCGAGCCTGGCCTCCCGCGCTGCCCGCCGCAGGCTCTGGGACCACTGGAGCAAGCCCTCGGCCATCTCCACCGTCCCCTCTTCAGGGCCCCGCGTCTGTTCCACTCCCTGCCCCAGACTGCTTTTTAACTACACTTTTCACGCATCACCGCTTTCTACCTTGAAATCTGAGAGAGATCGAGGCGCCCATGACATCCATTTGCCCGCGGAGGGCCCTGTCCGCCTGCGGCGCGAGTCCAGGCTCCGGAAGGGCCGGCGCCAAAATGAGGAGTCCGCACCCAGAGTCCCGACGCTGGGGTGACCAGCCCCCTCTGCGGTGGAAACCCCACCTCTAGGGGAATACGTGGAGCCCCGGGCGACCCCATTGCAGGGTCCCTTAGGCCCGTGCATTTTGCGTGCCCCACTAGCAGCGATGCAGGATGCCCTTGGGCAGATCCCACCCTTCCTAAAACATGTCAAGACTGGACACTTAATACCTAACAGATTTCCCGGTTATTAGAGTATGGAAGAGGCAGGGATGTACTGCCAATTCACCCCTCCACTACCCCACATCATATAGTGATCTGAATATTGTCCTCTCAACCCTAAAGAGGAACATTCTGGTAAGATCATCATTAAACTGTAGGCTTGCGACCTTGACTCTGAGGAGGAACTAACTTCAGCTAAACAGCCCTGTTTTGTCCTCAGTGTGATTCTCATTGATCTGGAGGTCGGGAGAGTACCATTTGACAGATGGAGAAATGAAGGGCTGGGAAGATTAGGTCCTCAGTCACAGTGGGCCTTGGTAGTAAGTAGTGGTACTCTTTCCCACACTACAGTGGAAGGATTAGGAGACCATTTAATAAGAAGTCGCCTATGGGGATGTGTATACCTCCTGCCTTGATGATTACAACCTGGCAGAGAAGGGCAGTAGAACTCTAGGTGGAAGGTAAAGTATGAAAACAAAACTGTTTAGTTCCACTTTAACTCCCTTCCTTTCTTAGTCTCCAAGTCTTTGTTCAGATTGTCCCCGGTTCAAACATTCTCCCCTGCCACCTCTAATACCTACTTTTCTACTTGAATATTCAAGTGTCCATTAGGCATTACCTCTCCCAGAAAGTCTTTTCCAGCCACCCCCATCCCCTTAGCCCATCCCTTTGAGCTCCCATAGCATTCTGGGCCTAATTGAATCTTTACACTTAGCACCATGGCTTCTATGATCTACTGACATGTCTCACTGCTTAGCCACAAGTTCCAGAGGATGGACCTGAAATCAGAATCACTATGGGGTTGTTTGGGAAGATCACGGGATCAGAAAGCGGGTAGGGAAGGTCTATGAGGAAGATTAATGCTGTGGCTCAAAAAGGATGATGCCCCTCTATCTGAGCAGAATGACCCCGACAAAGAAAGCTTCTGAGGCTTGAGCAAGGAGAGCAGCTCACAGTTCACTCCTGGTGATGGCTGAACCAGACCAGACACACAGATCTCCTTACCTGTTCACTGCAGCCACAGCCTACTGGAGCCACAGCAAGAGCTTAAAAGGGGGTGAGAGTGGCTGGGAAAGACTTCATGGGAGAGGTGATGCCTATAGGATACTTGAATAAAGTAGAAATGTAGCTTAAAAGGCTCAGCTCAGGCCTCTCCAACATCCCCCTCAAACTGTAACCACATATTCTAAAGCCTGCAGTGAACAAATCATATTTTTTTACCCATTTTTCAGAAACAAGGAGAGTTGGGTGTGGTGGTGCACACCTGCAATCCCAGCAACTTGGGAAGATTTCAAGTTCGAGGCCAGCCTAGGCAACTTAGCGAGACTGTGTCTCAAAATAAAATCCATGATATAGCTCAGTGGTAGAGCGCCCATGGGTTCAATTTCCAGTATATTCCCCCCCACACACACACACACACACAAAAAAAAAAAAAAAAAAAAGTGGGAGAAGAAATTGTAAAATCAACCATGCCTTCAGAGTAGCTGGGTAGCTAGAAACCAGAACTGTAGAAGGCCAACACTGCAGGGTGCAGGGGAGACACTGACCAAAGGGCCAGGGCAGTGTGATCAGATGTGCAGCCAGGTGGGTGGTCCAGAGCTGGAAGGAGAGTCAGCAGGCAGGTGACTTTTTATAGGGAGGATCATTCCCCATAACTACTAAAAAGATGGCTCTTCCCCTGTCCTGATACTCTCGTAGCAAACACAATGCTTAGGCACAGCCTCCCAGACCAACACAAGGTAAGCCAGATATTCTGTTTTCCCCCCAGCCCAGCCCCTGGGACTTGCTCCTGCCTTTTCTTTTCAGATCACGACCCAGTGACCCAAATGTTCATGAGCCAGTGCACGTTGCCTTCACCCTCTGCACCCCTGGGGACCACAATAAAGAGGATCCAGGATTTCCCCATTTACTGAATCTAGATGCCCATCTTAACTCCTGAAAAGCCTCAAAGGGAAGAAGAGTAAAGAGAGAAAGGAGACAGAGGCCCTGACACAGATTTTTCAGTATGCAAGTGTTTTTGACTCCATAGCCAGTTTTGTTTAAAATGAAACATAAAGAGCAGCCAGAATACACACCCAAATGCAAAAAAGTAAAGGCAAACATAAAACAAAATAAATCACACAATACCATGAATCCCAACAAACAAAAAATTAAAATCCAAAACCCCTCAACTTTATATATATATATTTATATATATATATAGTTTTGTTTTTTTGTTTTTGTTTTTTAAAAAGGGAGAACAACTGTTCAAAACCAACTGGGCAGGGTGGTGGGGCTGGGGAGCAGTCCTACAGAAAGGGGGCCCAGAAATTCCCCCAGGAACAAAGAACAAACACAATACAAAGAAAATAACCACCAATGCTCCCGAATGGGTCAGGAGCCTCCAGAGAACAGATTGTCCCATCCTCAAACTGGCTTTTTTTTTTCTTTTTCTTTTTTTTCTTTTTTTTTTTCTATTTTCTTCTTTTGTTGTTGTTGTTTAGCACCTGTACAATAAAACTGTACCATCTCCAACCAGAGCCAGCCATAGCAAGGCCCTTCTGCCTTTGGATGGTACATACTCTCTACAAGGATTGTTCGGAAAAATAGCAATTGGTAGAAAAATAAGAACAAGAGTGGGAAAGACAACACCACAGAGGGGGCGGGGACAGGGAAGCAACCCAAACTCTTCCCTCTTTCTCCCTGAACAGATCCAGCACTGGAGGCCCAGGGGCCCCGAGGCCAGACAGGAGGCCTGGTGGGGCCACATGTGCAGCCCAGGGCTCCAAATGGGAGTGGAGTCTGGGCTGGAGATTGGTCTCCTGCCCTTGCCTAGGGAGCAGCTGATGCCTGATTTCACATCTGGCAGTCAGTCCCACAGCCCTCTACAAAATCCAAAGGAGAATGGCAGAGGAGGGAGCAGAAAGGGGTGCTCCAAGTCTGGGAAGGGGCAGAGGTAGGGGGTGAGGGCTGGGAGAGGAGAGGCTCAGTATCTGGAGGGGGGGGGCCAAGGAGGGGGTGGTGTGGGTGGGGGTACAGGGGGAAAGATGCAAGAACAAACCCATATTGTGCACTCTGAGGGGAGCTGTGAAGAAAGCGGGAGGAGGGTACCCTCACCCCTCAGACCCCTTAACTCCCCTTTATTAGAGTAATTGAAATGAACCCCTCACCCTACAATTCTCTCCCCAGTAAACAGGAATCTCAAGATGGGAGGAGAAAAACTGGCAGGGGGAGGGGGAGCACCAAAGCCTCGGGATTTACCCCCAGCCCCCCAGCTCTGGGCCAGCAGCAGCCAGCTTCCTTAATCACAAGTTGATGTCTCCCAACCCAGCCCCCTCCCCAGTGGGGAAAAGCAACCTGGGAATCACTCTTAGAGGGAGGGAGCAGCCCCAAAGCTTATCAAGAAAGAAAGAGAAAGGAGATAAAGAAAGAGAAAGGAGGTAAAGAAAGTCCCTCAATACAACAAGTTGTCTCAAATCGTCACAGTGATACAGACTTATCAGAAACCAATGGAACAATACAAATTAAATACTAATAAAATAAATACTATGGAAGACAGAAGAACACAGGGGGACGGAGGGGGGTGCTCAGATTTGGGCTTTTCTGATTTCTCCTTTGGACAGGCCGCAGCCATCCAGGCCCACATTTGGTCTTGGTCATGCACAAGGAGGCCAGTCCAAGGCACCCTGGCACCACTTCCCACCACCCCCAGGGACCTCCCATCTTCAGACGTGGAGTTCAACTTTCCACCCCCATCACCAACCACAACAACAATGACGATGACAGGGAGATGAGAACTAATGTAACCAAAAAACAAAAAAAATCCAGTCACTAATGCTGGCATTGATAAGGCGGCTTCTTGTTGGTCCGTATTATTGCCTCATTCTGCAGTCTGGTGCTCGGTGGGGGGAAGAAATGGGAGGTGAGGGAAGGGTGAACTTGAAGGAGAAAGAACAGGGAGGGGCTGTTTTCCCCGTCAACTGTTCCAAGACTGGAATTCCACCTCAGACCCTAGGAGCCGAAGCAGCTCGGGCTCATAGGGCACTAGCTCCACAGTCTCAGAGGAGCCTGGGGGAGATCTGTCGTCCAAGCCACCAGGCCTCTCCTCAGGGGTAAGCAGCTGACTCGAGGCCACCTGCCGGTAGAACTCGGCCTTGGGCAGGGTGGTGATTTCAAAGTGCGGGAACCGGGCCTGAAAGATTCTGGAAGAGAGCTTCAGCCGCTTCAGGACATCCGTAAAGAGGAACCAGTTGCAGGGCCTAAAAAGGCAAGGACAAGAGTCAGAGAAGGAGGCTCAGGGTGCAGGGGAGCATCTAGCAGACACGAGATGCTGCCTGTGGGAAGCTCAATGAGCCCCCGAGGGGGCAAACCTAGCTCCTCATTCTCCCAAGTCTGTCTGGCTACTTCCCACTAAACCAGGGGCTCTTTGGGTGAGGCTGAGACAAATATTTTCTCTTGTCCCCAACACTGCCTGGCCCAGCTTTCATCGGAACACTTCCCCAGTGACTGAGCTCTTCCAAAAAGAGGGAGCAGGAGGGACATGGGCCTTGGAGAGCTGAAACCTCAGCAGGCTTCCCCAGGGCTTAGCTTGCACTCCTGTGACCTGTGGCCCTGTGACCTGGGGTATACCATGTGCTGGGACCACTCCTTCCCTGGCCCCCTACCCCTGCCAACCCTGGCTGGTTTCCCTTTCCTGTTCTCACTCCTGCTTCCTCTGCCTTCTTGTTCTCCAAGATCTTCCCTAGCACAGGGGGAGCCGTGGAGAAAGGCCTAAACTGCGGGTAATCCAAAAGGCATTTCTCTTTGGCTCTGGAATGCATTAGACAAGTTTTTTCTCCAGCGGCAGGCAGCACCACCGTTGTTTCTGCAGGCCTGGGGCTCACATTACAGCCAGTCTGCCTTTGCTGAGCACACCCGACTGGGCTGCAGCCTGGGGACAGCTGGGAGGGGTGCGAAGAGGCCAGTCACAGGCCAAATGCTTACACTGACCAAACCAGGAAGAAACACTACATCCTCATGTTGTGGTCCCAGTTTACCTGGCTTTCCCTCCTAGCCAGTCCACTGTCCCAGCTCCAGCATTTGCAACCTCTGGCCTGGGCTATACTGCACCAGCCCCTAATCGGTTTCCCTTTGCCAAGAGTCATTCTTCTGTACCCTTCCCACCCTCACTGGATCCTCTTGTTACAATTAGCTTTTTTCTTTAAAAAAAAATCTTGGGGCTGGGGTTGTGGCTCAGAGGTAGAGCACTCGCCTAGCATGCATGAAGCATTGGGTTTGATCCTCAGCACCACATAAAAATAAAATAAAGATATGGAAAAAAACTTTAAAAATGCAATTTAATATTAAAAAAAATCTTGACCCTTCACTCCTTGAACAGCTTCCTAGCTTCCTTCCTTTTTTTCTCCCGACTACTGGGGACTGAAACCAGGGCTGCTTTACCAATAAGTTACATTGCAAGCCCTTTTACATTTAAAAAAAATTTTGAGAGAGGGTCTCTAAGTTGCTGAGGCTGGCTTTGAACTTGCAATCCTCCTGCCTTGCCTCTGAAGTCACTGTGATTATAGGCATGTACCACTATACCCAGTTTCTCCCTGGAACAGCTTTCAGTGGATCCCCAGTGCCTCCAGGACAATACTCCTAATTCTTTAGCATAATATTAAATAAGACCTTCCAAAGATGACCCCATTCAACCTCTTCAGCCTAATCTCCACCCCTAAACCCTCCCCACACTGTATCCCCCACCCCACCAAGTGCCAGCCACCTGATACAGGACTATCCCTGCTTTCTGAACTTCCTGAATTTGTGTATCTCAGTTCTTTTGCTCATGTGCCCTGTGCCTTTCTCTCCTTCCTGGGCCAGTTTTGATGGCCTATCACCTGTGAAATCTTTTCCCAATCTAACTGAGCGCTCATCCCATCTTCCATGGTTCTCAAGGCACTTGGTTCACCCTTCTATTAGAATACTTCTAAGCCAAGCATGGTGGCACACACCTCTAGTCTCAGTGGCTCAGGAGGCTGAGGTAGGATCGCAAGTTCAAAGCCAGCCTCAGCACCTCAATAAGGCCCTAAGCAACTTAGTGAGACCCTGTCTCAAAATTTAAAAATAAAAAGGGCTGGGTATGTAGCTCAAGGGTACAGGGGAGCACCTAGCAGACACGAGATGCTGCCTGTAGAAAGCCCAATGAGCCCCACGAGGGGGCAAATCCAGGTACAGGATTCTACATCCAGTACAGAAAAAAGAACAACTTCCAGTAGAGCCCACTGTAGAAAGGCTACAAAAGCAACATTACTGTGGTCCCCTCTGGGGTCCAGGAATAGAAGCTCATGGTGGATTGGAACTTTTGTTTTCACTTGACACCCTTCTGAACTGTTTGAGCTTTATACAATAATAAAACTGCTTAGAACATTTGGTCTTTATTATTAGAGTTAATTATATACTTATCTGTCTACTACACTAGACTGGATTCTTTGAAGCCCAGAGCTGTGTTCTGGTCCTCAAGGTTTGACCTGGTACAGCTGCTTAAGACATGTTTATGAAATTGAATGTTCTGTATATCTTAAAATATCTACCCAGATCCACAATCCTTATCCCTAAAATGCAACATTTCTTCCAAATGACAGCAAACACTTGTCATCACATGTGATTAGGGAATGGAGTGTTGTAGGTTGAGAAAGGAACTACAGACATCGTACACTTGGCTCATCCTTCTCAAAGAATGGGGAAAACCTTCCAGAACTTGCTGGTAATCAGAATCTAGTCTGATAATTCAAAAGGCACTTCTGAACCCACAGAGCTTCAGAGTACCCCCCAATTCTTTACTTATTTATTTTTGCGGTGCTGGGGATTGAACCCAGGGCCTCATGCATGCTAGGCAAGTGTTCCACCACTCAGCACATTTCCAAGCTTCTTACATTTTTATTTTGAGACAGAGTTCCACCAAGTTGCTGAGGCGGGTCTCAAACTTATGATCCTCCTACCTCAGCCCTCATGAGCAGCTGGGATTACAGGTGTGTGCCATGGCACCCAGCCCCTTCCCCCAACTTTTTAAAGACTTGAACTGTCCATGTTGTGCTACAGCTATGGGGGAAGGGCAGTTTTAGAACAAGCACAGGGGGATGTCATGTCAGGAAGGCAGCCTTGCCCACAGCCAGCTCTCAGCTGACAACACGCCTGCTGCCTAGCTCTCGGAGCAGCTCACACAGTGGCATGCAGCCCTCGATTGCCCATTTTCTGTCCACACCTAAAGCAGACTACCCTGGTCCTTTTACTGCCTGCAGTCCAAGATCCTGTTTCAGAGAAGGAGGAGCTGAACACTCTGGAGGAATTAATTCACTGTGCAATACTATATCCCAGAGGCCCCACCCCACCCTCAGGGATCAGCTTCTGCTCAGAAGAATAAGGACCAAAAGCCCCTGAAACCTGATCCCTACTAGTGCCATCATATAGGCTATTTTTATTCTTATCAGGCCATGGGGGAAGGGATGCAAAGAAACCAAGGTCTAGTGAGCCTCATAAATCGAGAAGCTTACTTCACACATTTCTAACCCATCATCCACCCGGCTCCCTGACCTGTTCATGTCACACTAGTTTGCTGTTTTTTTTTTTTTTTTTTCCTTCAAATAGGGTCTGATTGATCTGGGCAAGGTGGTGCACGCCTGTAATCCCAGCTACTTGAGAGGCTCAGGCAAGAAGATCACAAGTTTGAGACAGGCCTTGGCAACTTTGTGAGACCCTGTCTCAAAAAAATGGGTCTGATATTTGAAAAACATTTATCAAGGAAAATTATCCTTAAAATTGTTTGCCAAGGTAATTGGAGACTACTTCATGATGCAGGCTAGGAACACAAGGGCAACGGATCCCACATTCCCATTCTCCCAACCAGCACTTTCACACACTGATGTGCTGGGAAGCCCAAGGAGAACCACAGCCCTGCAGGTTGAGCTCCCTTGCGAATCATCAAATAAAGAGTCAATTTGGTTGAGTTTAACACTAAGTGTCAGGTATGCTACAGTCTCAGAACATGGGTACTCTATTATCAGACACACAGTCATCTGAGCTGGCAGCATTGATGCCATCACCTTGCCCACATTAAGGCTATGGGAAACCAAGCTGTGGATTGCTTAAAGACCCTAGCGGCTCCACAGCTATGGCAACCATATGTCCCCGCTTTTCCAAGAATCTCAATTGCAAATATTCTGTCTGGCTGTCCCCAGAAACCACAAGAATGTTCCAGGGATTCTAATAGTTCATCAGTCCTACAGATTATCGCTTATACACAGAACAGTATCCAAAGGCTTCAGGGAGTAAATCCAGATTTGGGGTTCTGGAGATTCACACATTTGATGGACCTACTACAGACCGAGAGGTCCATGTACTCCAGTTTGAACAAAAGTTATGTTCAACATGGGCTGGAGGGTCACGTGGGCACTTGTCACATGTTATCTTGCCTACACTCCACTGCTCATTTGCCAGGTCCTCATCTCCTTCTGGAGAGCTCCACCTTCCCTGAGAGGCAGGCTAGATGTTGCCAGGATCCTGGCACTTGGTCCCTACAGATCTCTCAGACACTTACCCGCGGGACACGGACACTTGGAGGTTGTAGCAAGGGAGAAGAGGCTTGTCTGAGAGCTCAAACATGAAATCATCCTCTTCCAAATCATCTCCCTCTTGGTCAGCACTCCCAGGAGGATTATGCAGGAGGTCACAGGCAAATCCGTCTTTTTGCTCTGTATGGAGAGTACATGGGAATTAGAACTTGGCTATATATACGAAACCAAAGACAAAAAAATGCCAGTCAAAGAGGCATAAAGGGGATGATTAGCAGATAAACGACAAGGCCACAGGTCCCTGGCTGGGATCAAGGTTTATTGAACCCATGGCTCACATTCTTGGGAGAGCACGTGAAAGTTCTATTCCCCCCAAAAAAGTATTTTGTGGCAGAGATTCATTATATTCCTCCACCTGCTGATTGGAAAAGGCAAGGTGATGTGAAGGATGAGCTTCCCAGCTGTTGGAGATTGAGGCCTGAAGATGCTATCCTCAGTCAAGGGCAGGCTAAAAACACCTGCTCTTCTCTGGCTGCAGCTTTCCCAAGCTGCTTTACTGCCTGATCCCTAAAGCCTGGGGGCTCCGATGGTTCCCTTTCCAGCCACATGTTTGGGTGTGGCTGATTGAATTCCATCCCAATCTTCTCCTGCCCAGCTTCTCTCAAGCTTAGAGATAGTCAGTTCCCTTAATCTTCAGCCCCTGGCCCAATAGGCAAATGCTAAATGACCAGCACAAAGATGTACTGATCTTCCAAGAGAGGAAAGCTTGAACCAGAAGGCTAAGGCTCAGAAGACAGCAGCTATCTCAAAAACTAGAGTGCATCATCAGGGGAGGGGAGGGAGGGAATGATAGCTGCCAGATGAGGATTTGGGTCCCTGTTGAGTAATACCAAAAAAAGTGTCGAGGCTCACAAGGGGTGGGGGGTGGCTTCTGGGAGAGTTAAGACAAAGCAAGGGAGGAGAAAGGGACCTTGGGAGAGAGAATTTTTAAAGTACTCAGGGTGGGGAGTAGTAGAGGGCCAAGGAAGGATGGCTTTGTCCAGATGAGTTTTACATCTTCTCATTCTGGCAAATGAGGTCACGGTCTAGTGGTGGAGGGATTATGGTCTGGATTGAAATGGACTGTAAGCTACTAACAGGTGAGGAAGGACCTCCACATGGCAATTCCCATCTTTGAAAAGAATCAGTGAAACCCAAACCAAGTCCCACGTCTCTAAACCATAGATGAGGGTAGAATTCTTTCCACCTAAAGCTTACCCAACACAGAACTGCTGTAAAAATCCCAGGATACACCAGGATCACCTTCTGCCCGGCCCTGAAGATCTGAGAGGTGATCTGATGAAAGAAGAGAAGGCCGTGAGACAAGGAGGACAGGCTGGAGAAGGCAACTCGAGGAATGTCCATGAATATGGGGTTGGGGCAATGGGAAGGAAGGAAGGATCACAAGAGAGGCAGGAGTGACCAGACAGCGATCTGCTTCTTGTTCCCAGTCAGAGACTGCAAACCAGCAGCCAGGACCCCAATCTAACCCACTGACCACCTGAGATTTGGCCTAGTATTTAAAATGCAACCCCTAGCACCTTAAAACTGGGAATTTCCCTTAAAAATATGGATTTCTAATTTTTGTGGAAAAAAAATTGAGAGGATCTGGCAACATTGCATCCACATTCCTGCATGTCAACAGTTGGCTGGAGGGAGCTGCGACATGTGCGGGCTTCAGTCCCCACCCAGCCTTTTCCCTCTTTTACACATCAGCCTGAAGGCATGTAGTTTTGGGACCCCTGCTTCAAATGGTATAGGTTATTCCTCTGCAGGCAGAATCCTACAGCAATCCCAGGATTTTCCTTCCCTGCTGGTTCCAATGTTAACATATCCAATCAGGATGTTTCCACTTTAAAGTAAGTGGCTGTGGGTAGAGCTCAGTAGTAAAGCGTATGCTTAGCATGTGAGAGGCCCTGAGTTCCATAGCCAGCTCCAAAAATAATAAAAAAAAGTAAGATGAGCATAATTCCTTCTGTTTTTGTCTTTGAAATACATGGGAGAAAAGACGATATTTATCCTCAAAAACACCTTTTGCTTCCACTCATAAGTATATACACCCAAAAGAATTACAAACAGGTGTTCAGGCTGGGGATATAGCTCAGTTGGCAGAGTGCTTGCTTTGCATGCACAAGGCCCTGGGTCCAATCCCCGGCAACACACACACACACACACACACAACAGGTATTCAAATAAAAACTTATCCACAAATGTTCATAAGAGCTCTACTCATAATAGAAAAAAGGTGGATGGGAAGCTGAGAGAGGAGGATCCCAAGTTTGAGGGGTTCAATCCCCAATACAAAAAAAAAAAAAAGGAAAGAAAGAAAGAAAAGAAAAAAGGTTTAGAAGCAGCTCAAATGGCCATCCACTGGATGGATAAACAAAATGGAGTATATTCATACAGTGGAACAGTATTTAGCCATAAAAGGAATAAGTATTGATGGGTGCTACGTGAAATAAAAGAAAAAAAATAACTCATACAGGAAAAAAAAATCCATACATGCTATGACCTGGATGAACCTTGGAAATACGATAATAAGTAAAAGAAGTCAGTCACAAAGGCCACATTTATAAGATTCTGCTTATACGACATGTTCAGGGTAGGCAAATCCATAGAGATAGAAAGCAGTTTGGTGGTTGCCAGGGGCTGGGGAAAGGGGCAGATGGGCAGTCACTGCTAATGGGGATGGGGTTTCCCTTTGGAATAATGAAAATTTTCTGAAACTAGATAGTGGTGATGATTGTACAACATCATGAGTGTGTTTACTGTCACTCGATTTTATACTTTAAAATGACTAAAACAGTAAATGTTATGTTATGTGTATTTTACCACAATAAAAACTTTTAAAACCACTTTTGTTTCCTGGCTCTAAAGACAGACTCAGGTCACTCTTAGTAACCTCCTTGTTTCCTGGTTAGGCACCAACTAGTGGAATTGTTTCACCTCTTGGTTCCACCTGAACAAAAAGCAGGACCACAGCTTTTATGACAAATTCAACTGTGCCATCTGTGGATGCATGGCCCCGCAGTTATCAATATGCCAACCAATACAACTGGCAAGCTGATTTATCTATATGTAGTTGCCACCAGCCCTCAAGCAACACCTGGGCAACAGGACAGGAGAGAGTCCAAAGGGCACAGGTGAGGTGAGGGCGTCACCTGCAAACCAAATCTCAGGAGGAAGTTGGCAACCATTCTTAAAAGGAATGGAACTCATTTCCCCCCATAGAAAGCACCTCCACCACCAGATGCACCTTCCTTCTGGGTCATCTTAGCATCCTATTAACTGCTACCCATTTTTAGGCATCTTCTAAGAAACAAAGGGATTCCTCCAGTAGGAGGGCATCCAGAGAGAAACTTTCAAAGCAGTGGTTGAGCAACCAGAGTGGGAAACCTTCAGTCATGAACATTAGATCTTTGGTGTTTCAGGAAAAAACTTGGAGGTTGCACTGTCAGCTTCTGTGCTCTTTACTCTGTGCCACTTGAGAATTGGAAGCAGTTTCTTCCAGAAGCATCTGTCAGGTAGGTAGGAGTCTACTCTGGGCCTAGCCCTGTGCTTGGTGTCATGGAAGATAAAGGAATGAGAATGTAAGTCTCAAAAATACAGGGTGTCTATTGGTCTTGTTCATTATTACCCAAACTGTACCTAAGCCCAGTTCCTGGCACATAAGAGCTTAATATGGGGGGAATCACTATAAGGTGAGACTATAAAGTGCTTGCTCAACCAGCATGCCAAAACAGATGCACTCCTGCTGGTTGCCCCCTCCACCCACAAGAGGTCACACAAGGATTCCATCAGAGCAGCCCAAGCTCACCACATTCCTGGGGCTCCTCTCTAGGGACTGTCTTCAGAGCCCCCGGCACATTCCTCTAATTCTCTGCACTGCCTGCAAATCTTTGTCATGTGCAGGTGAACCTGCCCTTCTGAGACAGACAAAAGTTAACTGGCCTGAGCAAAGATGGAACAGGCCTATGAGTGGCACACAGGAGGAGCTCCAGGACCTGCTCAAAGGTACAGCTTCAATACGCGTTCCATAGATGTTCACATACAATCAGAATGAAGTGAACTTCCTTTTCCTTGATCCTCCCTACACCTACTGCAAAGCACAACTTTCAGTTCTTTCCTCTTATCCTTTCCTTGAAAAAGTTCCCTGGGCCCAGCAGTCCCCCTCTCCTATGTATATAATCAAAAAATATGGAAAATGGATAGTAAAACACATACTTGTATCTGCATGATCATAGCAGCACTGTTGACAATAGTTAAAAAAAAAAAAAAAGGTGCACACTAGCAGGGCACGGTGGTGCACACTTATAATCCCAGCCGCTCGGAAGGTTGAAGCAGGAGGATCACAAGTTCAAAGCTAGCCTCAGAAACTTAACAAGGCCCTAAGCAACTCACTGAGACCCTGTCTGTAAATAAAATACAAAAAAAGGCTGGGGATGTGGCTCAGTGGTTAAGTGCCCCTGGGTTCAATCCCTAGTACCAAAAAAAATAAGGTGTACACTGCCCAAAAGTCCATCAGTAGATAAAGGGAAAAGCACAATGGAATATATACACGCAGTGAAACATTACTCAGCATAAAAAGAATAAAGGACTGAGACATGCTAACACGAAGAGACCTTGAAATCAGTGTACTCAAGAAAGAACCCAGACATGAAAGCCCCAGATTGTATGATTCCATTCATAACAAAATTTCTAGAAAAGGTAAATCTGTAGAGACAGAATGCAGATTAATGGTTGCTAGGGGTGGGTAGGAAGGGGAAATGAAAGCAACTACTTCATGGGTTCAGGGCTTCATTTGGGGGTAACAAAAATGTTTTGGAACTAGATAGAGGTAGTGGTGGCAAAATATATTAAATGCAGTAAATACTACTGGATTGTTCACTTAAATCATTAATTTCACATTACAAGGAGTTTTACCTCAATGTGCTTTTTTTTTTAAAAGCACCCTCAGAGCTTCATTCCAAGAGTAGACCCTCTCACCTCCATGTGAGCAGCAGCCTGCAGAGTTTCTCTGTTTCCTAGGGTTCCATAAACCCCTCCCCTTCTCTACCAGCTAAATCACCAGCTGAGGGACATGAAAGGATTGAAAAAACAAAAAGTAAGCCGTCTTCAACATGGGGTCATATGGCAGAGGTCTCTAGAAAGAAAAACAAAACCCTGTGATTCAGTGACCTCAAGTGGTAAATTGCTAACCCTTCCATCAGTGGAAGGAAAAGCAGTCCTGGCACTGCCTTGGATGCCCTGACCAAGCTGTGGCAACTCTCTCTGACTCCAACGTTCCTTCCCACAGAGGAGGAAAAAAACATGTCTGTTTTCCTTCTGCTCGCTTGGATATTACTCTTTTCTTCAAAGGGTCAAAGGTAAATCAGTCACAGGCCTGCCTGTAATTTGGTTCATGGGGGAAGCCTTCCAAAGGCCTTTTGGGGGGGGTTTGGACAGCTTGATACTCCAAACCCAAAAATTAGGTAGATAGTGTTTACTGTCTGGCTTCTAGTACCCAGCACAGCACCCAAAATCTAATAGGTGCTCAATATATGAATGGGACAGGGAGGGAGTGCCATTTGGTCCTTCATGATCTCACAGGAAATGAGCCTCACCTCAAATCAACCCAATATAAGAAAATCCACATTTACAACCCAGATGAATTACCAGCATCTTCTGCTTTACGAAAGGATTCATTACAGGATGCCTGTAAATGGTGACATTCTGCTGCATACATAGAAGATTTAAATCACAGACAAGTCTTTCAGAACAGGGCCCTTGCACAAAGCAAGGGAAGCTGTACAGGAGGCATGACCCTGATGCTCGGGCCCCCTTGACCACTAGCAGAAAATAGAGCCCTTTGTGCCCTACAGGGATTCACCTTCATTTTTGTCCAGTGAGACCTCCATTGCGGGGAGGAGAATGATGATAATCTATAAAGTCTGGTCAGGCAAACACTTGGGAATGAAAAGAAAAAAAATCCCCAAAAACAAAATAGTTTCTAAAATACCTCAAAAATACCTCAGCCAGATAGGCAAGGTGAAAACAACAACAACAAAGTTCATGAAAATGTATCCAGGTGGGGGGGCAGGGAAGGAATGCTTCCCTAACCTCCAACCTACTGCTTCCCGCAGTCACTATCCAGTTACTCCAGTGGTTTCTGGAGAACTGGTAGGGAGGAGTCCAGAGATGAAAAAAGAAAGCGAAAAATACCCAGATCAAAGCATTGAAAGAGCCCCTGATGTTGGTTGCACAACATCATGAATGTCCTAAATGCTACTGAATTATTCACTTTAAAAGGTCACATTAAGTGAATTTCACCTGATATTTTAAAAAAGCCACTGAGTATTGTCCTTTCACCTTCTCTCTACCAAATAGCCTTTGGGGCCAAGTTCCCCCACCCTTCCTGGGGGAAGCCTGTTGACTCCTGCCAGTGCTTGCCTCCCTGGGGCTGAGGTCCTAACCTGACTTGCTACAACTTTTCCTAACAGGCTGATAGAGCTCAGTCTTTGCATGGAGAAGTGGTGACCTAATCTCTAAACCTGCATAGCTCCTGACCTCCATTATTAAGCCACCTCGTGCCTATGAATTGAGAAATGTTGTTAACATTTGAAAGAAGGTGCTCAGCCTGAATAGGGTAGAAGTACCAGTTTTAAGAAAAGTCTTCCCAGTCAGGCATGGTGACCCATGCTTGCAATCTCAGGCCTGGGAGGCTGATGCAGGAGTATCACAAGTTCAAGGCCAGCCTCAGCCACTTAGAGAGATCCTGCGTCAAATTAAAAAGGGTGGAGGATGTAGCTCTGTGAAAACACCTCAGGGTTAAATCCCTGGTACTATTCCCCCAGCAAAAAACAAAATTCTTCTCTGGATTTTGCAACATGAATGGGCATTTGAGTTAGTTTAAGGAGATGTCAAAAGACTGATTAGGAGTTGGTATGAGTTGACAGTAAGAGGAAGAGGGGGAAAGAGAGGTTGGGGATATAGCTCAGTGGGTAGAGTACTTACCCAGCCCTGGGTTCAAGGCCCTAGGTTCAAGCTCCAGTACAGCAAAAAAATGAGTGGGAAAGGTGTTTATTTCTAATTTTTTTAAGTACCTAAAAAGTATTTAAAATGGTCTCAACATTCAAACTCTTTGGGGGGTTTTAGAAAAAAAGAGTTCCTCTGCTTACTAAGGTGGTCAGAGATAGCTTTACTTAGACCCAGAGAGTTCTGAGACCCTCAGGGAGATTTCTAGCCTGGAGAGGCCCTTGCATTGACCAGTTTATGAAAGAGTTTCACACTGCCTTTATCATATTGAGATGTTCAGGATGTTCATCTGTGCCCCATTTTCCTGGGAATCCAGTGGAGTACAGATAACACATGTATATCTGAGAGAGAATGCATGTGTGCCTGGTATGTAAGAGGGGGCCACAAAGAGCACATCCCTAGCGACTAAAGGGAATGATGGTTATCACTGGCCCAGGACAAACGGCTGAATGGAAATCCAGAAGTTGCTCTATCCCTTAAGAACAGAGGTTTGAGGAGCCAGAGCTAGGGGAAGAAAAATGGAAAAGGCAGCCCTCTTGCCTCCCGGGCTGAGGTTCAGTCAGGCTGGGAGGACTGAGGCCTAGATTCCAAGGTTCAGGCCAGGATCTGAGTGGAGGGGGGCTAGGCAGAAGTCAAAATCTCCATCAGCAGTCTTCCATCACCCTCGCTTTAATCCCCAGCTTCCACCAGTCTAAAGGCAGTGCGCCCCACCTGTTTTTCCTTTCATCAGAAACTTCAGCTCAGGTTCACTGAGTTAACCTCTGTTTAATAGACAAATAGGCCATGATTGGGAACCCAGAATTGTATCTCTGGCAGATAGGGTTTGGGGCCGGGGTTCGGGAATAAGTAGATCCAAAGTCCAGGTAAGAGAGGGGTGAGAGGTCTTAGGTTAGTTGGTTCCTGGTCCAAGAGTTTCTACTGCAAACACTGAAGTCTCTAACCAGGTTCAGAGATAAAATTTTCAGCAGCTCTGTTACTCAGGCAGTCTGAAGTAACAGCCAAGTGTGAAAGCTATGATGTCACTAAGAGGTGGGGTTCTGTATTACAACGTCAAATCTAATGAGATTCCTACTGAACATATATAAGCTAGGTGCCACCTTTCCCCTCTTCCCCCTGCCCAACTCAGTAGAGCTATCTACCTGCAGACTAACAGCTGCTACCCACTATGGAGAAAATAAGTGCATGCTGGCTTGTGGTCCTTACCATGGGCCTGGACACAAGTCACTTTTCCATAAGGGACAGGTGAGGGTGGAAGAGATGAAGTGGAGAGAAGGGGGATTACATCACAGTAACCACTGGTAAGAGCTGTGAGGAATAAAGCTTCAGGGAGGGTCCCAGGGGTTTCACTTTGATCACAAAGAGAAATTGCAAAAACAATAGCAACATGCTAAGCATCACTTCTTTGCCACTGACATCCTATTCACAGCACAGATCAACACATTTTGCCCCCAACCAAATCTACTAGCAGAGCTGCTGTCCCTCAAAGAGGTCTACACCAGATACCTAGTGAAATGGGTCCCCATGGGCTTCCAGGATCCTGAAGAGGTTGAAATGTGGACGCATACAGCAAGTGGCTTTTTATTTTAAAGTAGCTAGAGATTTCTAAGAAGCTGAAAAAAACATGTGAAGTAGGAAGGTGCTCCTCATAGGTAGCTGTTTGGGGTGGAGGAGGATAAAAAAGATCCCCTGACAGGTTCAGGAGTCAGAGGTCAGAGGATACTGGCTGCAAATCTCGGCCACACTTACCACTCAGAAAGCGTTTCATGGTGTCGCTGCTGGCCAGCTTCATGGCTGTCTGACCCGAGTAGGTGGCCAATGTGGGATCAGCCCCATAGGACAGCAAGAGCCACATGGTTTCCAAGTTGTCATTGACCACTGCATCATGAACTGGCCTGTGGAGGTGATATGGGGTGAGGAAAACAGGGTCCAAGTGGGAACTATGAGCTTTAAGCTTCAGGCTACTTCATCAGAGAAAAAAAATGAGATGGCCCTAGGATAACTCCAGTGGAACATGATTAAGCTCCAGGGAGGGGGACCACCTCTGACCTGTAACCCCCCCATACCTCCTTCTCTCTCTGTGTTTCTTTCTCTACCCTCCCCTTACTCTCTTTACCTCAGCCCCCCCACCCCCACATCTTGGGATAGTCCCTAGGGCACAATGAGGTGCCACTAGTAGCTCAGAAGAGAATGGGTCCCTGATGAAGGTTAAAATTAAAACAGATACAGGGGTTAGGACCTGAAGAACCCAGGTGACTTCCCAAGAGCAGGGATGGGCAGAGCAGCTCCACACTCCAGCCAGTGGCCAAATGGAAGCTGCAACTTTTGGTCTGGATCCCCCTACTTGTCATGCAGCTGAGGTTTATTTTACCTAGGAAGTAGGTCCTCTGGTAGAACAGAGGAGAATGTAAGTTTCTCTAAGATGTAGCAAGTATGTATTTTTTTAAAAGTGGGTAGGAAGCAAATTATAGTCAGGCTTGGTGGTGTACACTTGTAATCCCAGCAACTTGGGAGGCTGAGGTAGGAGGATTGCAAGTTTGAGGCCAGCCTAGGCAACTCAGCAAGGCCCTATCTCAAAATAAAATTTAAGGGCTGGGTTGTAGCTCAGTGGTAAAGTGCTTGCCTCGCACACATGAGGCCCTGGGTTCTATCCTCAGGACCACATAAAAATAAATAAATAAATAAAAATAAAGATAGTATGTCCATCTACAACTAAAAAATATTTTTAAAAAATTAAAATGGAGGACTGGGGGGTGTGGGTCAGTGGTAGAGACCCTGGCATTCAATTCCCAGAACCACAGAAAAAACCAAATTAGAAAAATCAAATCTAGAATCTTAATCTAAGGTCAGCCTCCCATTAGTTCCTAAGGCCCCAGATTCTGCCTGAGACAGGGCCCCACCAGGATGAAATGAAGGAAGGCTTAGTGATCTTCCTGGTAAGAGCTGCATGAGATGGGATGAACCTTGGAAAATCTTAGCCTCCCCTTAGTAAACAGAGTAGACTGGCCATCCAGGAATTCATCCTGCTCTAAACTGGTTCCCTCTTCAGTCTACAAAAAATTTTCCAAAAGGCTTCCTGGAAAGGGCTCTCTGCAACTCGCTGCTTGGTGTGCTACAAATGTCCAGGCTGGGGCAAGTTCTTTTCATGGAGGGGCTAAGCTGGAGATGGGGCTTGGCCTCAGAGAAGGAGAAACTTTCTTGCCTTGTGCCATCCTGTGCACTACAATTCACATTGGCACCATGCTCCAGCAGGATGTTCAGGATGTCAGTCCAGCCCCGGGAACAGGCCTCGTGCAGGGCTGTATAGCCAGCATTATCGCGGTGATTGACATCCTCACTGTCCTTCTGGAGGCAGTACAGAACAACATCCTGTGGGGATAGGGATAGCTCCATGAACAAAGAGAGGTCAAATTCTCAGAATCATACCAGTTAGACTTGAAGCCCCCCCAATATGTCTCAAAATCTTTCTTCAAAGAAGTCAGTTCTAGCCAGGCATGGTGGTTCATGCCTGTAATCCCAGTGACTTGGGAGGCTAAGGCAGAAGGATCACAAGTTCAAGGTTAGCCTATGCTTAGGGCCTCACTCAGCAATTGAATGAGGCTTTAAGCAACTTAGTGAGATCCTGTCTCAAAATTAAAAATAAAAAGGGTTTGGGGGTGTAGCTCAGTGGTAAAGTGCCCCTGGATTCAATCCCTAATACCAAAAAGAGAAGTCAGTCCTGAGCCACCAGTCACCAAGACCCCAGCTCTAGGCCATTTCCTTGGCAGTGGAGAGGCATTTTCTTATGATAAATAGCACTCATCTAGGTAGTTGTCACTGGGGTAAGGTCCTCAGAGGGGCTCCCCTGCCCGCGCAGAGCTCATACTCCCAGACCTGGACTCCCTGAGCTTTGTGAGCCAGCTCCAGTCCAGGGAAATGATGAGACGTGGTAGTGAGCACAGCTTTTGGTGGTAATTCAAGAACTGGGAAGGAAGAATTGTTTTAAGTGCCATCCTTGGATGCTGGGCTCAGCAGGAACAATGTTCCTGCCAGTTCCAGCCCTCCCCTCAAGTCAGGATTTTTCCAAGCATAATTCAGTCATTCATCTATACCTTAATGGTTAACTTCCTTGGGCTGAGCAGACAGGACCAGAGGGGAACTCCAGTAACTTGAAGCACCCTAGCTGGGATGGATGAGGCCTTGGGTAAAGGGCTCAGTAGATACTGACTGACTGACTGACTTTCAGAACAAGGTACTTGCCATCAGCCCTCTTTGGGGCACTAGGAGATGGGAATCTTAGCCCTTCTGCCTGATACCTCAGAGGCTAGCTGGCCAGAGTGAATGTGCGTGTGCCTGTGTTGGGGGGGTGCTGTCACCTGTCCTCAGAAACTGGCCTCCTGCCATCCTTACCATACATATGTTCGCTTCCAGACCATTCCTTTCCTTCTAATCCTGACAGGCTGCCCTGACCTCTGCTTCTGCAGTGATGGCCTGTTTACTGGTTTTGCCTCCCACACACGCACACAAGAAAATAACTTTGAGGGCCAGATGTGGGCTACCATGCCTGAAATCCCAGCAATTTGGGAGGCTGGGGCAGGAAGATCCCAAATTCCAGGCTAACCTTGGCAACTTCTGCTGAGGCAGAAGGATTCCAAGTTCAAAGCCAGCCTTAGCAACTTAGTAAGACCTGTCTTCATATAATAAGAAGAAAAAGGACTGGTTATGTACTCAGTGTTAAAGTGTCCTTGGGTTCAATCCCCAGTACCAAAAGAAAAAAAAAGATGGCCATGGGAAGGAGCCACTATCAAGTCTTAACAACTCAGCTTTCCTGTGCTGACCAGCCTGGCTGGGAGTGGCAGTCTTGAAAGGAATAGAAACTTGAAAAGAAGGCATGCTATTTGGGCATGTTGGCACATGCCTGTAATCTCAGTGATTAGGGAGGCTGAGGCAGGAGGATTGCAAGTTCAGAGCAAGTTTCAGCAATTTTGCAAGGCCCTAAGCAACGAAGTGAGATCTTGTCTCTAAATGAAAAATAAAAACAAGAGAGGACGTGGCTCAGTGGTTAAGTGTCCCTGGATTCAATCCCAGTACCAAATAAATATATAAATAAATAAATAAAGGGCTGGGAACATGGCTCAGTGGTTAAGTGCCCCTGGGTTAAATCCCCAGTACCAAAAAAAAAAAAAAAAAGGCATGCTATGTAATCCAGCAACTCTACTGCTAGGAGAAAATTCTGAGGAAATCATCAGGGCAAAAATACATGGTAAAGAGAGTTTGTATCAAGAAAAAGTGGAAAATGACAGAAATGTGTGACAACATAATTTAATCATGGTAAATGAAGCAGTCTTCTAACCCTACCCTGGCACTTGGAAATCAAAAGATCTTGGTTTGAATTTTGACATATATATTCACAGTATTGAGTGATCTTGAACACATCATTTAACATTGCTAAGCCTCGATCTTCTCATCTGTAAAATGAGGATGATAAAGTCTATCTCCATAGGCTTACTATAATCAAAACTCTTATTAACATGACAAAAGGGGTGTTCAATAAATGCCAGCTGCCTTTCCTGCCTACTTTCCAATGTATGGGGAAGTAGTACAAGGTGAGGTTAGCTCAACTCTGCCCCTCAAGCATGCTCCTGACCCTTCTACCAGAAGCCAAAATTAGTGGAAGGTGCAGAGGAGATGAAGAGTGAGCAATAACCACCCCTGGTCCTCTCTGAGGGTGGGAGCTACCACAGAGGGAAATTCAAGACGAAGTGAAAATCCCAAAATCCCCATCCTGGCCTAGGAATGCAGTGGGTGATATTGTGTTACCATTTCAATTGCATTTATCCCAAACGGACATTCAAATAAGTGTGCATTCCCACACACTGAGATCAGACAAAGGCAGCCCCAAAGGCCATGTGGGCAGTAGAGGGAGGCCAGCTGGGACTCAAGCCGAAGAGGAGCCATTGACAAGACACTCCCTCAACAGAGGCCCAGGCCAGTGTCATGTGTGGCCACAGGGGAGCTGGCTCACCTTATAGCCGAGACGTGCTGCCCGCTGCAGGAGGGTCTCACCAGCATTTTTGTTCACAATGAGCCGCCGTGCCTCTGGGGGGATCTGCCGAGTTGTAGGTGACTCTGAGGCCTCCTCTGGGCCGGCACTTCGGGACTTAGAGGGTGTACATGGTTCAGTGGGCTTCACTGGGGTGGGAGATTTGGGAGATCGTGTCTTCTGTTGGCTCCAACGACCTTTACCCTGGAAAGCAGAGGTGCAGCCCTGGGTCAGGCCAGGCAACCAATCTCATCCATCATGGCCATGCCACTTGGTTGCCAAGGCCATCTCACCTCATCAGTGTTTCATGTGGTGCTTTGCTGAAAGTACCCCAAGTGGCCGTAAGACCACTGCCAACTTTGAGGCTAGAGGTTGAGCAGGTCACACTAGCCATGTGGAGCATTTGTTAGATCACCATGGCTTCCTGTGCACTCCCACCATGGGTTGGGGAGTGAAGAGAATCAAATCTTCAGCCCCATAAGCCATGGAATGATAATGGGTTTGGGAAAGTGGGGGTACAGGGTATCTCAGCTTCTCTCAAGCACTCTGCAGGCCTTTGTTACCTGCCTCAATGTCCCCTCATGTGGTCTGCATGAGCCACGTCTATAAGTAATGAGGGCAAAGTGAAGCAGAGACAGCTGTCATTTAAATAGTCACACTTCTTAATGCTTTTACTCTTATTGCAAAAATCTCCCCCCAACTCCCACCTCACAGGCTTTTCCCATCTTTCACCACACCCAGCCCCCAGATCATACTCAGGCCCACCTGAGGTGCGGGAACAAGCTGAGGCTTGGGAACAAGACAGTGCTGAGTTTAAAGCTTGCCTCTGCTACCCACTACCTGTAACCCCTGCGGCCTGGTCCAACCCCTCTGAGCCTTTCGCCCTTGCAGGGTCTGTGAGATAATGAACTACTACCAAGGCTGCACCGCAATGAACAGGGAAGGAATTTACAAAATGTTAGTAGAGTCCTGTCCTCACAAGAGGCACCTGGGTGCCTCCCCGCTGCCACCGCTATTTTGAACTGAAATGTCTATGCAGGTTCACATGCATGTTCCTACCATGGCATACTGGTAGGAACATTGGTTTATGGGGGCAAGTAACTTATTTCTTTAATTCAGGGGTCTTTAGAGCAGAAGGAACTGTACTCGAGGAGCTATATACTTAGGCAATGAGATGTAAGAGCCTCTTTTGTCTGGACCTAGGTTAGATGGTGTGATTTTAAACTTGGGAGTTGATGCCATAGTTGGATGAGACTTGGGAAGGGTAAATATACTTGGGAGTGATGTGAATCATTGAAAGCCAGAGGGAAGACTGTGGCAGCTACCCTCCAAAATGGCTCTTGAGGATCCTCCCCACCCCGTGACATTCATTATTTTGTGTAACCTCCTCCTCCAATGGATAGGGCTGACCTGTATAATCAGTAGGAAACTGCAGAAAGGACCATGTATCACTTCCAAGGCCAGGTCCTGAAAGACATTGTGGCTTCTGCCTTGTTTTCTTTTGGATCACTCACTGTGTGGAGAAAGCCAGCTGCCCCATATCATGAGAATATTCAAACAGCCTTTTGGGGAGACCCATGGAGCAAGGAAGGGAGGCCTCCTGCCAACAACCATAATCAACTTGCCAACCATGTGAGCCAGCTACCCCGAAAGCAGATCTTCTGGTCTGAGTCAAGCCTTCAAATGAATATAGCCGTGGCTGACACCTTGACTACAACCTCATGAGACCCCAATCCAGACCCAGTTAAGCTGCCGCTTAATCTCCTAAACCCCAGAGACTGTATGAGACAATATATGCTTATTGTTGTATTAATCCACTACATTTTAGAGTGATTAGTTACACCACAATAGAGTTAATATATATACTTATCCAAATCCCTCAGAGCATTAAGATTTCACTTAAATCCTATATACTCTACACTATTCTACAACACCTCTGATCCCACTCCTTCTTTCTCTGCACATCTGGAGCAGAGAAAGAATCACAGACTGATGTCTGATGTCTCACTTTCTTATTTCTTTCCAATGTTTATGTTTTTTGGTGGTGGTGGTGGTGGGGTTTCTGTGGATTGAACCAGGGTGCTCCATCCCCAGCCTTTTATATATTTTTTTAAATTTTTCAGATAGGGTTTCACTAAATTGCTGAGGGTCTTGTTAAACTGCTAAGGCTGGTCTCAAACTTGCAATCCTCCTGCTACAGCGTCCCAATTTCCTGGGATTACAGGCGTGCACCACCATGACTGGTTGGTGTCATTGTTTTTAGCATTTTATGGGTAAGTCTTGATTTCCTCTGCTAAGATTTAAAAAAAAAAAAAAAACTTTTTTGAGACAGGGTTTTACCATGTTGCCAAAGCTAGCCTCTAACTCCTAGGCTCAAGAGATCCTCCTGCCTCAGCCTCTGCAATAAGCTACCAGGCTAGGTCTTAAGCTCCTTGGGGGCAGGGTTTATACTGTCACCTTCTATTTAGTTTCTTAAAGCACTGGACTCAGAACTCAGGGTCATCCCTGAGTCCAACAGATAGGTATTGTGTGAGCCATGTATAGAGCCTTGGGTGGCCAAACCTAGGAAGACAAAGTTAGAAAAGGAGAAGTAGCAGAGAAAAGATGAGGGGTCAGGGCATTTATTTCCTCTGGTAAATCCCAAGATCAAGAGAAGCCCAGTCTTCATCCCAAAAGGGCAGAGGTACAATCCCTAGCAGAAAGACACCAACTATGAGGGTATAATGTTGCTTTATTGCCAGGAGAATGGGGCATTTAATGGCAGGACTGGAGGATGCTGGGTAAAGTACCAGGTTTTCACTAAGCCAAGCCAGAAGCCAAAGGGTGACTCTCTTTCTGGGGGCCAGAGCTGCCAGAGAGCAGGAGGGAGGCTGCCTGAAAGAGGGAGGAGCAAGAACAAGTAGGGGGACCCCTCCCCCTCTCCAATTCCCCCTGGCTCAGAGCCCTTGTGGGAAGAAGCCCTTGGCCAATGCCCTGCTTTAGTGCTGCAGAAGCGTCCCCCTCCCTCCCCCGCCTTGCTTTCCACTACAAAGCCCATGCCATGGGGGCAACCAGAGCAGGTGGTGGGACTGGGAGAAAAAGAAAGGCGGGAGAGAGAAAGGGAGGCCCTGAGGAGGGACAAAACCCTCTCCAGGAGAACATTTCAACAGACACACTGCCAGGCAGAACAACCAGACAGAAGCATCAGAGTGTGGGGCTGGTTACCTTTGTGTGGGACTGGGCCATCTGAGTGTCTGGGGCAGAACAGGGGAAGGGGAGGGGGAAGCAAGAGACAGGGACGCCCACCTTTTGCCAGAGCTGCTCGGGGCTGCAGTGTTTCCTGCCTACTATCCCCCTCCCCCTGTGTCTCCAGGATACAGATAGAAGCCACCCATTCAGAGTCTGTGAGGCACATGGAACCACTGGGGCTGCAGAGGTAGACAGGCCTGCTCCAAGTCCCAACTCTGGCCCTCTGGACCACTGAGTGACCATGAAATGAATCCCTCACCTTCCCTCAGTTTCCTCACTATAAAATGAAGATAATATAAGTACCTAAGTCTCCAAGATCCACCCCAGGAATTAAGAGCAATAACATGAATGAAGCAGAATTAAGAGCAATAACATAAATGAAGCATTTAGCACAGACCGGGGATTCCTTGCTCTTCCCTTAAGCCCCTCCCTGTCTTTCTACCACTCTGGGGGTGAGAGGAAACGGATGCCACACCATGCCTCTGTCCCCTCATTCGTGCCTCTGCCTGAAGCACAAGGATGCAGACCAACCCTCAGAGAGTACTCTACCGTTATCAAAGCCTGTCACAGACATTGCCTCCTTTGTTCCCCCAAGCACCCTTGTGAGACAGAAAGGGCATGAAGTATCAACTCCATTTTTAAAGATGAGCAAATAGACTCGAGTACCTTGTCTGAGCTGGAACAGGGTTCCGGAGAGGGGGGAGCAGAAAGGAGGGGGAGATAAGCACCCACTCTTTGACAGTGCTATTCAGGGATCCCTGCTCAGGAGCTGGAGAGAGCAGTAAGAATCACAACCACCAAAGCGAGCCCATTATAGCCTGTTTGGGTTTTTTGATTGTCAATGACAAATACTTATTATGGGTACAAACTTTACCTTAGACTTTCGCTTTCTTCAAATGCAAAACTCACCCAGGATGAGGACTAATATTTTTTTTTCTGAGGATACAGGGTAGAACCCATTACCAATGCAGTGAGCATCAGATCCAAAAGAGATGTCAATTATGAATGGGGGTGCCTGGCTGATTGGTGAGTGCCCACTCACTCAGTCAAAGAAACGGGGGTGGGGAGAGGCAGCTATAACTTGGACCCAAATAGAATTCCTTCAGCTCCACCCTCAAGCAACCTTTGTCTGGACATCAAAACCCTTGCTTCTACAAGTTGTTTTCTACCTTGATTGACTCAGAAAGCTCCATGATTGGTTTCCAGTGAGTTAAGCCCAGACAAAAGCTTCTTGATTGGATGTTAACAAGCTATTCAGGCTAACATCCTGCCATATTCTTTAACTCTTCCTGAACTCAAAGGAGATCCAAGGATTGTAGAGGAAAAGTCATGGTGGGCCAAACTCTATAGTTGGCTATAACTTTAGTTCCCATTCTTCAAATCCACCATCAACCCTTCTAGAACTAATTTAGAACTCTTTAATAAACATGGGTTAATTTGATCATTACCATCCACTCCCTCCCTGCCCTCCCCGAGAAGATTCCTGCTGGAGGAGTTCGGTGGAAAGCTCCCCTGCCACACACACATATTCCTGTCCCCTGCCCTGTTCCCCTGGTGGCCACATACCTTTGACTCTTCTGAGACGTTTGCCATGTGCTTGGTCTTGCACTTTCGTTTTCCTGATGGCTTTTCTGAATTGTCAAGGCAGGCTGGCTCCTCCAGGTTATTTGGGAGGAAACCGTTTGGTGAATCTGAGATCCCCTGGGCTTTGCTGGGCAAGAGAAGGTTCCTATTCCTGAGGCGATGCTCCGAACTTTGGGAGGGAGTCTTCTGCTTACGATTCTTTGAATCTGGGCAAGAAACAGGAAAGAATAGATATCAGAGAAATGCAACACTAAAAAGCAACGCCATCCTCTAAGATGAATCAGAGGACTTCGGGGATTCGAATCACTGTGCAAAGTTGTGTAACTATTAGTTCTTGGTATATTATGCAGTGCTGACTATTCCACTCAGTGCTTCTCAAATGGACAGTATAGTTCAACACCAAAGTCCCTCCTCCACAAGCAAGAGACAGCTCCCAGCCCTGCCAGCAGGGTGGCAGCCCATCTGGCTATTCCCAAGATGAGGGTAATTTTAAAGAATTTTTCCCTAGCCCAGAACAAATCAGAATTTCTTTTCAACTTTCTCTCTGTCCTCTTTGTCTGGATCTCCAATATAAAAACAAATCTATTCAGGTGTGTTGGCAAACACCTGTGATCCCAGCTACTTGGGAGGCTGAGGCAGGAGGATCACAAGTTTGAGGCCAGCGTGGCAAATTAAGAAGATCCTGTCTCAAAGAATAAAAAGGACTGGGAAAGCTGGGTGCGGTGGCACATGCCTGTAAACCAGCTGCTGGGGAGGCTGAGGCAGGAGGATCACAAGTTCAAAGCCAGGCTCAGAAACTTAGCAAGGCCCTAAGCAATTTAGTGATACCCTGTCTCAGAATAAAATGTTAAAAAGGGTTGGGAATCTAGTTGAGTGCCCCTACATTCAATCCCTGGTACCAAAAAAGGGGGCAGGGGCTGGGGATGTACCTCAGTGGTAGAGCACCCCTGGGTTCAATACCCAGTACTGCAAAAATACAAAAACAAAAATACAAATTTAGTGGCTCCACTGAAGTATCAGTATAGTAAGGTGGGGGCTACACGTAGAAGGCTGCCTTTATGGTCTATCCAGCTAACTGCCTTGTTTGTCACTCTCTGAAGACACAAAGATCAAAGCAACAGAAACTCCCCAGGACTAGAAGGTGTCATGGGCCTACTTAGCTGGTGGGCAATGGAAGAAAACTGCCACCTTCCTTGGTTGGAAATCAAGTCACTTGTGTCACTGAAACACACGAGGCCATATCTCTATTTCTAACCACAACTCACTGAATAAAGTGCATTCTAATTTCAAAAAGGCTTGCTGGGAACTCCATTAGCAAGAGCCTCAACCTTAGGGTTTGCCCTAAACTCCATGTGTAGGGGCGAGAGATTGTATTTGCTCTCATCTCTTAACATCAGTGTTGTGTGGCCTGGCCACTCTGTGACTGGACAGAAGCAAGCCAGAAGCTCTGTGAGCCTGTTTCCATACCTATAAATGGGGAGAATATAATCCACATCCCAGTAGTGGTAGGAGAATTAAGTGAGATCATACATGCAAACTCCTTTACAAAGTGTTATAAAAAGTAAGGCACGATTATTATCTTATTTAAATGCAAACTCCTTAGTAGGGCCATGCCTGTGTGTTCTTTATCTCCCCCATGGGACTGAACACAAGTACTGGTTTTTTGCCTAGCACATGGCAAACGATCAATATGTCTATGAAGGGAATTAACTATAACCTCAGTTTCTCTACATCCTGAAATGAAGGCATTGAGATCCAAGAGTTTTCAACTCACCTCCAGCCACATGGACTCTCATGTGTGACATTGCCATGGGCAAACCCAGATATGAGAGTCATGGTTCCAATATGGCAAACTGTCTGTAACTTATGTACAACTCCTAAAGCCACCTCTTTTTCCCAACTAGCCCTAGCCCACTGTCCAAGAATTGCTATGCTGGATGGTCTCTAATGGCACTTCCAGCCAGAACATCTAAACCAGGGCTTTTGATGCAACACATTTGGACTGAGGCAAATGAGGAAGAAACAGAATGGTGCCTTGTGAGGACCTCAGGAAGCATGAAGAGCCATATTAGAGCATTTAATGCCACAAGCAAAGAAGCAGCCCCCTCCCCATTTACCTAGGGCAGGGAAGGCTCTGGAGTTTATTCAATTGCAGAGGAACAAGGGCTTTATAAGAGTACATAAAGGAACAGAGTGGAGGTAACAGGTGTGTGAGGGGAATGGCTCTTCCTACCCTCTCCACAGGTGAAGAAGGGAGACCAGCCAAGCCCAGGATGAAAGGAAAGGTCACAAGGCTCAGACAGGAGGAGGGTGACCTGCTTGTCTGACATTGATCTGAAAGACAGGTAATAGTAGGAGGGACTAGAATTTCCTGAGGATAGACACGTATGTCAGACAATTCTTGCATGAAAATGCCATCATTAAATCTGGAGGCAGTTAACCAGACCATATGCCAAAGCCAGCTGCCTCAACACAAAACACTTAGATACATCCATGGAGGGATAATGACCTATTTTCCACAACTGGAGCTGCCCCCAAATCAAGCAGGATGCCCTGATCACTGGTGTTCTCCCATGTTACTTCCTGTTGAATGCTACAGAGAGCTCTCTCCGCACTGGGTAGTAAACTGGACCAGGCAACCTTGAAGGTTGTTCTAGTTCCAAGAGCTGATAGCTCCATAGGAAGCTTCCAAGCTAGGAAACCACCCCTCATTAGAGAAGATCAGGTGCAACAAAGCTCCTCTTCATCCTAACATAAGTGGCGCAGGCCAATGATTTGACAACTCATTCATGACCAATCCATTATGGTTCTGGAAAAAGAAAGGGAAAATTGCCCCCACTCACTCATACAGTTGAAAATTAGCTCAATTACTCTCTTGAGCACAGGGATAGGTATCATATATATGTCCACTTAAACAGAGTCGGAAATGAGGCTAAGCTTTCTTTGCATTATTGCAAACCCAGAATCTACTACCCACTTGATGTGAAGTCATTCCATTTTTAGCTAATAAGGGAGCTGCAGGTGTTTACCAGCAGCTCAGAATGAATACATCATAGGAGACAATCAATTGTTGTTTCAAGGGTAGAGGTCAGAGAATGTAAGGGGGAGACAGAAATGTTTTAATCAAACACAGAGATCTGCCTTTTTTTCAATTAAAAACCCACTACAGGGCCAGGCATGCAGTGTGTGCTTGTAATCCCAGCTACTTCGGGATGTTGAGGCAGGAGGATCACAAGTTCAAGGCCAGTATGAGAAATTTAGCAACATGTCTCAAAAAAAAAAAAAGACTGGGGATGTGGCTCAGGCTCAGAGTTAAAGCACCCCTGGGTTCTATCCCCAGTCCAAAAAGAAAGAAAGAAAGAAAGAAAATCCACCACAGGAATGGGCCTTAATAGTATTTAGTGGAGCATTCTGATATTAGCTTCTTGTGCCAGTCTGTGCCTTCATGGTCATATTTTTTAGCATCTGGCATGGCCAAAAAAAAAACACTTGTTTTTCTCTTTGGACTACCTACTTTTCCAACTAATGTCCAACAAATAAAGATGCCACCTTGGGTCACCTCAAACCTTCACTTCTGAATAATCTTTGTGGTTTTAACTGAGAAAGCAAAGTTATACCCACTTCTACTTGATATTCTTCTGTTCGTCTGAGGGAACCACTGTACTTTTGTTTAGTTTAGGGGCTGGAGGTATCTCAGGAAAGATGGTCAATGCCCTCTTTTTTCTTGATCCCAAGATTCTAGGAGAGAGAACCTGTCTTCCTCAGACACCACCCCCCTAAGCCAACCAGAGGACTCACTGGTATGGTGTTGGCCCATGCCAAGGATGTCACAGTGGCCTGGCCCACAGGTTCAGCTAACTATGGGAAACCAGAGGGCTTAGGCCTTCATGTCCTCAGCTCACCTGTAGGTCAGTCAGAACTTATTCAATCTCAACCTCTTGGGGCTGGAGTTGAGTGACCCTCTCTGGCAGCTGAGAGCATAGCACCAGGTTTCTATAAGGCCTTGGGCTGGTGTAGAGCAGGCAGAGGTGGGAACATGGCGATGCCCCAGGGTTCTCAGAAACCAACCTTGCTGCTGGGACAGTAGTCCCCCGACCAGCCTTACCTGCTCTCCCTTTCCGCTGCTGCTCTTCTTCTTGCTCGGTCAGGTACTCCCCAGTCTGATATTTTCGGCTCTTCTGCCGTCTCCGTTTCTTCCTCTTCACCAGCCCCTCCTCCTCATCTTCTTCCTCCTCCTCATTGGTGTCCCACATTTGCCGGGCGGCCTCTGTCCTCCAGGGCATCTCTCGGGCTCTCCACAGGTGCCTGCGGCCCTGGCTCAGCAGAGTCTTGTCCTGGGCATGATGGCTGCGATACTGGGTGTCCCGCTGAGTCTTTCTCACCTTTCGACGCTTAGCTGGGGTGGGGGCCACCTCCTCCTCTTCTTCTGTGGGGAAGACTTCCTGGCTTCCCATGTCATTGTCTGCCATACCAGCAAAGGAGCTACAGATGCTTCCTGTGGATGGGATGTACAGAGGACAGTCAGGTATCTCTTCAGAGGACTAAGAATGATGTTGACAAGAGTGCCCTGCATTTGGAGTTTGAAGGTCTGGGTTCAAGTTCAGGCTCTGCCATTTATTAGTTAAATACTTTGGGAAAGTTCCTTCTGGTTCCTCATCTATAAAAAGGGAATAATATTCTCTCTTTGCTGACCTCACAGGGCTGTTCTGGGGATCGAATGAAATCTTTCACTGGTGTTTTACAGAGCCCAGAGTATCATACAACTATCAAGTATTAAAAACACACAGCTTTATTCATCCACAGTGCTGTGTCACTTGAACGGACTTCACAAACTCTTGCTTCCTGCTTACAAGGTGCCAAGCATTGTGCAAAGAGCTATAGAGAGCTACAGGCTCCCGCTGACTGGGAAACAGGGGCTGAGTGGAAGGTGAAGGAGGAGCCCCTGCTCACTCTGTGGCCCCACCTGTCTCACTGACAGAGCCACCCTGGACAAGCAGACCATCACAAAAAACGTCTCAGAAAAAGCAAAGCAAGGAGTCCCTTTCCTGTAACAGGCCCTGGCTCAGTCAGGCCCAAATGTATTGCAGCAAGCTGTCTTCCCTTAAACTGACCCCACCTCCTACCAAGCTGCCAAGAGTTCAGGGGTGGAGCTGTCTCCCCGCCCCTCCCCCCACCCAGCTGCAGCTGTTCCTCACCGCTGGGCAGGCACTTCCCCCTCCATTCACAGCCACCCCAGGATGGATGGCACCTTTCTGGTCCTTCTGGGCCACCTTGCCAAGAGGCCATTTTCTCTACTCACTCTTTCCTTTACCTCTGCTAACAACAAAAGTACAATCTTAAATTGGCCTGGTTTCACACTACAGGAGATCTGACACCTTCCTGGGAAGGGCTGTGAGACACTACCATCTTTCTCCCAAAGCCCAGCTGTTAACTTGACAACCCCAGGACCCCAGTGAGGTCAGTAGCAGAAAGAAATGGTTCTAGGGGAACAGAGCTGCCCTTGACCCAAGTTTCAAGTGGGTCAGACCACTTAAAGATAACAGCTCTCCAGTAAACCTTCCATTATATGGACCAGGCAGGGAACGAAGTGTTCTGGTTAATCTAATATTCTGGTTAATACAGCATCACCACAGAGATCACACAGGGATCACCAATTTTCAAAGAATCAAATACACTACAATGTGTTTAACATGAAAATGGGACTGGCAGTAATGTAATCGCTCTCTGATGATTCAGAGGATACTTCAGGATTTTGTGAGACCTCCAGGCCATCATTATGAGCCCCAATTACCACCGCGCTCGCCATGTGCTGAGGTGCTGCTTAATAGAATGTCAGATCATTGAGTTTACAGTGTGCCCTGCTTTCCCATTCCATCCAATTTGCATGGAAATCTGGGTGAAGCAGGGCAACCATCTCCAGTCCTGTGTACCAACATGGAGCAAGCAAAAGAGAACACAGGCTGGAAAGGACTCCTTTTTTTAGGCCCTGGGGATTGACCAACATAAATTCAGGGTGCCAAAAGTGAATCTGAAGGCCTTGACAACTCAATGGCCTTTTCAATTCTGATGATGCCTGTCACATCAGCCAATAAGACCCAGTCCAAAGGTTATGTCTGTACCTGAGATGGGCCCCAATAATCATGAGATGCCAAAGCTGAGTAAATCAGCTTTTCTGAGTGGCACAGGCCTTTCCTCTTATCAGCTCCCAATAAGAGATGCCATCACTTCTCTGAAAAGCTAAGCAAATAGTCCTAAAACCATGGGCAACACTCCTAGACCCCACCCAGGGCTCTCTTGTATCTGCATTTTAGCCCAGTGAAGCAAATTCCCAACTTTCTACCTGGGTCAATGGAAAAATCACTCAACCACATGTCTACCTCTCTGTTCATAGAAGATGCCAAGACGGACCACAACCTTGGTCTCACTCACCAGACTGACTGCGTGTTCGTGTGCTCAGAACCACTGGGATGAAGTCACGGAAACTGCTCTTTGCTTTCTTTTCCAAAGAACCTAGAATTATGTGTGGTTTGGGGACAGAAGGCAGAAACATCACAGTTAGAATCTAAAAACTAAAAAACCCACTCAAGAGGCTCATGTGGGAAAATCAAGGTGGGATTCTTATTGACCTTATGGTTATCCAGGGCTCTTCTTATACTGCCATCACATACCTATCTCTTTTAGGGAAGGAGCTTTTCCCAGTAGTTTTTGAAAACTGGGAGTTGTGTCATTTTTGCTGACACCAAAAAAGGCAGTGCACACAATCGATTCAATTCAACAGCACACCAGAAGATAGAAGACACAGCTGTCCCTATGACTTGAAGGCTCTGCACCTCCACTGAGTTATAACTGAGCTGGAAGAAGTCCCAGAGAAGGGCAACCTCGATGAACCTTAAAGTACTGAGTGAGGTGGGAAGACAAGAGCAGGAGGTGGTCAACAGAAGAAAACTGTTATATAAGAGCAACCTAGAAGAGGCAGGTCATGTCAGATGAGCAAGGCCATGAACAGGGACTGCTGTGGTCAGACATACCTGGGAGTCTCTCCCTGATGAGGGCACCCAGGGACCATCTATGGCAGAACACACAGGTCTAGTACATACTCCCCCCCACCCCAAACATCCTGTGTGCCCATAAATTATAATGAAGGTTTAGGATATCTCTAAAACCTTGTAGCTAGAGAGCTAGCGATTTCTTTATATTTTTAGAAAGGGAGTTTTCCAGTATACTCAAAGGTAGAGAAAACAGCATGATGAACCTCCATTCTGCTGTCTAACGGGGGTTCTAATAATTTTGTCTAAATCTTCCTAAGCCTGTTTCTTCCTCAAGCCTAGACACACTGCAGGGAAATGGGCTGGCTACTCTGTTACAGGACTGCCATCTGTCTGTCTGCAAATCATTTCCTTGGCTTTTGGAGTGTGCTGTTTTTTAATGTGAGGGGCAGAATACGCCCCTGCTACCTCCCCTCTCTTGTCCTTGACATCAGAGATAGCAATTATATTTCCCTTCCATAGTGAAGAAGGCTCACTCTTCCAGTCTCTGGGTCCCTCTTCTCCTACCAACATGCCACAGGACACTCTCTGCAGCCCAACACAGAAAGCTGGGGCCGCTGAGGCCTACCTTCCTCGTGGCCATCAGCTCGTTTTCCTGGAGATTGGGACTCTGGCTTTGTTTGCTTCCGGTGCTTGTGCTTTCCCCTGACTCCATTGTGCTCTTTTCCTGAATCTGAAGCCCCCCTGGGGCTTTTCTTGGTGGGTTCCTGGGGGTCACTGGGAGACTTCCGGCACTGTAGAGAAGTAGAGAGTCAGGTCTGAGATCAGTTTTGCTTAAGAAAGTTCTCCCAGGGTTGAGCCAAGCACCCATTTCTGACACATGAACATGAGCTGCCCAGGGTGGGGCGGGCAGAGGAGAGGGACTCCAGGGAGCTACAGAGGCTCTCCTGGACTGAATCTAGTGCCCTTGCTGGTCTCCATAGGCATCCACACCCCATCACTTTAAAGAGGTCTACAGAATCTGTGCTGACAAGCCATTGAACACATACCCAAAGTAATTTTAAAAGGTACAAAGTCAGGCCCCATATTCTCTATACCCAACACCAATGGAGTGATGGGTTTTAAACAAAAATGCCTCTTCTGCAAGTTGGGCAACTACATTGTTCAAATAACATCATTGTGAATGGTATTGACACCAATGACTGAAAATAATTCTCAATAAGAGCCAAGTGAAGAAACCTGTCTATTTTCATACGCAAATTAATATCAGAAAACAAATTCAACTAAAGCAAGAACATGGCACAGGAGAAATTCCCATCTTCCCATATTTTCTGAAACACAATTTAGAGATCCCAGCCTGGTTAATAATGCCACTTTATACTCTGAAGCACTTTCAACTTCGCAAAAGGCTCTCATATCTATTATTGGAATTTTTTCTTCCCAAGGACACTGACAGAAGAAGCTATCCCCAGTGAACAGATGAGGAAACTATAGCTCCAAGACTAGAGGTTAAATGACTTTTCCAGGGCAACACACAGCCCAATGTATACTCACTCAGGGGCTGCCATGTAGCAGGCCACCTTGTGAGTTGGCTAAGTTGTGCTTGCAGTGAAAAAGATGAGGAGCTAGGACTAAGACCCACTGGGACTGACACCCAGAGCTTCTGGCCCCACTCTGGGCTCCCACATCAACTTTCTTTTTTTTTAATATTTATTTTTCGATTGTAGTTGCACACAATACCTTTATTTTATTTATCTTTATGTGGTGCTGAGGATCGAATCCAGGGCCTTGCATGTGCTAGGCGAGCACTCTACCACTGAACCACAATCCCAGCCCCCCCCCCACATCAACTTTCAATGCTCTCCTTCCCTATTCACGTCCTCAGCTGCCTTTGTCCCACCTACTAATGGGACATTGCACGTGTACCGTGGTTGTCCTTATATGCTGCAGTTTCACTCTTAGCCTAATAGTCAGATTCTTATAAACTGAGGTTTCTATGTGCCACTAAACAAGAAATAGGGCACCAGGCACACTGGCACATACTTGTAATCCTAGTTACTCAGGAGGTTAGATCAGAAGGGTCACAAGTTCAAGGCCAGTATCGGCAATTTAGCAAGACCCTGTCTCAACATAAAAAAATAAAAAGGATTGGGGATGTCGCTCAGTGGTAAGGCACCTCAGGATTCAATCCCTAGTACCCCTCAAAATAAAGAAGAAAAGAAAACAAAGAAAGAAAATAGGGCAAGTAGGGAGTACAGAATAAGCAAATCATTAGAACAATGAAAGGAGGCTTTAGGAGGAAAAGAAGAGTTAAGGCTGCTTGTTTTCACCCTAAACAGATCTGTCTCACCTTCTAGAAGGTTATCACCATCTAGCTCTAGTTAAGGAGACAGCAGATATCTTACTGAGAAAGTATTTGGGGGGTGTCTCAATTCTTTAGGCACAGGAAGCCCCCAGGATCCATCAGATTCCAAGGATTCCCCCATCCCATGAACTTGTCCTCCTTCTTAAAATTCAGAGGAGGGCTGAGCTTGAAATTCAAGTTCAGTTTCTCTCTTTGCTTGCTGCCAGTTCCTACAAACCCAAGTGTTAGGAGAAGGAAGAACTGAGAAGGAAAGACAAAGATGGGGAACAGCTGCTTCAAATCTGACCTTCAGGTATGGCCACGGGAAAAACTATTTTAAGTCGGGGAATAAAGTTAAACGCACATAAATTTGAACATGTCCTATTTATTTCTGCATATCATTTTTAGCTGGCTCTTTCAAGTACAGATCATTAACTTTTACTTCCTAAGATAGACAAAAACAAGTAAAACAGAACATCTACAAAGGATTTCGGTGTGTATCTTGTGCAAGGGCATCCATGAAAGTAAAAATATATTGTGCACTCCAACTCAGGCAAATAGTCAGGAGGACAGCAAGATCACATAAGATGAATGTTCTGGTTAACAGAGTTTTGAAATATTTTCCAAAGAATTTTCCAATGAATGAGAAGACAGCAAAATACACCCAGTATCAAACGAAGCACAACTTTCTTTGCTGATGATCCGGAAGGCCGCTGAGGATTTGAGAGATGTTGGGCAGGTGATATAGGCATAGAAGACTATTCTGCCTCTGGGCCATGCCCTGAAAGGAGCTGTTTTGAATTAACACCTGATCTTAGTTTGCTTATCAATGGCTTCTTTCTCAGGAAAATGAAACAAAAGAAAGAAAAAAAGTTGCTCTCCTGAAAAATACATTTACTAAATGGTCACAGACAGTTGGAAAGGGCTGCTTTCTGGCCACCCTGCAATGCTGTCATTTTGTTCTCTGCCCTCAGCATTTGTCAGTGGGCCCACTGAACTGCCTGTTCATCTCATATAAGAAGGGGTGGTTTGGGGCTGGGGTTGTGGCTCAGCGGCAGAGCGCTTGCCTCGCACGTGCGAGACCCTGGGTTCGATCCTCAGCATCACATACAAAAATAAATAAGTGAAATAAAGGTGTTGTGTCCAACTACAACTAAAAAATAAATATTAAAAAAAGAAGGGGGTGATACCTGCCTGTCATTGAGTCATGGGCAACACATAATATAAGAGCAGAGAATATGTCTATTTCATTTGTAATACTAAAAATAACAACAGCAGTTGCCAATACTAACTGAGCATTTACTATGTTACAGGTACTATTTTTTATTGCAGGACTGGGGATCAAATCAGAGCCTCATACATGCTAGGCAAGTGGTCTACCACTGAGCTTCAACCCCAGCCCCATGGGTACTATTTTAAGCACTTATGTAATCACCTCATTTAATCTTAACAGCTTCATTGAGATACATCATATAACTCACTTATTTAAGTGTATAATTAAATTGTTCTCAGTATAGTCATCACCACTTACACTTAGTTCTAGAACTTTTTCATCACCCTGAATGAATACCCCAATCCATTAATCAGTTACTCCCCAAATTCCCCATCCTCCCCCAGTGCTAGGCAACCAATAATCTACTTTCTATCTCTATGGATTTTTCTATTCTGAATATTTCATATCATCATCTCATTGAATTTTCACCACAACCCTAATAATATTATTGTCTTATTGCACAGATAAGGAAACTGAGGGTCAGATTTAACCAATATCACATAGCTAGGAAGAGGTGAGGCCAAAATTCAAATTCCAGCTCTGTGCCTAGCCTCAGAGGGTACATTCCTCACCAATCTATTATAGCATCCTCCTGAAGATGTATTCCCATTACTTGGGAAGGACTGCCATGATAATCATTCAACAAACACTTGTTAAACATTCAGTGAAATGGTTCCAAATAAAGTGAGTAGAAGATAGTGTGGCATAGCTGAAGAATATGGACTCTAGGATTAAAAAGACCAAAGTTTGGGGCTGGGGATGTGGCTCAAGCGGTAGCGCGCTCGCCTGGCATGCGTGCGGCCCAGGTTCGATCCTCAGCACCGCATATAAACAAAGATGTTGTGTCTGCTGAAGAACTAAAAAATAAATATTAAAAAATTCTTTCTCAGGCTGGGGATATAGCTCAGTTGGTAGAGTGCTTGCCTAGCATGCATAAGACCCTGGGTTCAATCCCCAGCACCACAAAAAATAAATAAATAAAATAAAATAAAAAGACCAAAGTTTGAGTTCTAGTTCTGCCATTTAGTAGCTGTAGTAATTTACTTGTAAATTTAGTGAGCATTCCCCTCAGAGTTATTGGAAGGATTAAAATAGGTAATATATGTAGAAAACACTTGGTATATAGTAGGAGTTCAACAAGAACAACATTAATGACAATAAATTATTATTTTTGTTATTATCTCCAACAAGGGAAGATTGCAGTCAGTCTAATCAAGTGTTATACACTTTACTACATTAGGATCTGTTTCTACTTTGTCTCTGACATAGAGGAGGTGAGTGAGAGGTCACTGAGGAAAACCCACCCAATCTCTCTATTCCAGGGGTCCTTAACCTGGAGTATATGTATGGCCTTTGGGAGAGGGTGGGTCTACGAACACCCTGAAATTATTGGCAAAGTTCTGAGGTCACATTTCTGGCGACAAGGTCCATTGCTCTCATCAATTTCTCAAAGCAGTTTATGGTCTAAAATTGACTAAGAACTTGTGCCACAAATAAATTCATGGTGCCCTGGATAGAAATCTATCCCTTAGTGTACATCAACATCCAATTTGAAAGCTTATTAGTACAACTTCAAATTGCCCCATATATTGAATTAAACCTGTCCTCAACTGTTTTAAGAATCTCCTTGGATCACCAGTAGCCTCTGGATGGCCTCGAGAGAACCCATGGACTTAAGTCAATTGTTCCTGGCCTATCTTTTTGCCTAGAACTCTGCCTCTACCCAGAGCCTATCATGAACCAAGACCCAGATGTCCATCTGCCTTGCTCACCAACTAACTTCTCAACATGCCAAAACCCGAAGCTGCCACCTCAAGCTTGAAAGGGATAGGAAACTAGTGGATTAGCCTGAAAGCCAAATGGGCTCTGACCCCACATGACTCCAAGCAAATCCTAAGCAGGCTCCCTGAGGGTGCAAAGAACAGCCCTGTAAAAGGCCCTTTCCCTCTCTGGGCCCCTAGTTCTCAAGGCCAGTAGCCAGTCTTCTTGTCAAAGCCTTGTCAGTAATTGATCTCCCTCATTAATACCTTCTTCTGCTTGCCAATCTCATCTGGGACAACTGCTTTCCTGACCCCTGGGATATAATCATTCCTACCTCCTACAAAATACAAGCCCGCCCTGCCCCAGATAAAAACACCATATACAGAGAACATGACTTAGAAAGGGGACAGCGGGTCATTATTCCCTTTACAAAAGTGTTTCAATCACCACAGTTCACACAGCTACTCAAGAACACTGTGCCATGGGGGCAGGAATTCAGTGCAGTTGAGATCTGCAGAGTGAAGCAGACTGGCAGGGTCCTGGTCCACCCTTGTCCTGAGCCTGGCCACTGGCACTTACCTTGGATCCCAGGGAACTCCGGACTGTGGGCTTGGCTTGTGGCTGCTGTTGCTCCTCGCCTTCCTTCTCTTTGCCACACTTCATCTTCTTTGGTGGCAGAGATTCTGTCACTTCATCTGGCTGCCACTTGTTCTTGCAAGCAAAGACCCCAACACTTTCCCGTTTTACTCGAGCCTGCCCTGCCTTAGGCCGTGCTTCAGCCTGGCCCCTCTGGGGAGGTGCTGGAAGGCCATCGGCCCGGAAGCAGGTGGCTAAATTGAAGACCACATCACCATCCACCTTCTCCATTTTCACCCGCCCTAGATCCACCTGACTTCCGAGCTGCGAAAGCTCTGTGCTGGAGCCCCTCTTGCTGCCCGGTACCACATCCAAGATGAGTTCCTGGGGGTGGCCGTCATGAGGTAGCAAAGGCAGCTCGGGCATGGTGCGCAGGTTCTGGGGGGTGGCCAGAACCAGCTCATGGGACATGTAGGTGGCCAGCACTTGGTTCTTAGGCTTCGTGTCTCCTGCCAGCTTCAGACCACAAGCTGTCTGGGGGCCTTCCATCTTAGGAGTGCTATCAGAGCAGAGGTGGCTCTCTGATTCCTCAGGCCCCTGATTTACTCTAATGTCCCCACTACTAGACTGAACAGACAGTGCCAGGGTCCCTGTCTGAGGGCTGAGAGTTAGTAGGACAGGGTTGACTTGTTCTTCATAAGGCTTGGCAGCAATCCGGCAAGTTTTGTTTTTTGTTACAGTGTCCTGCTCTGAAGTAAAGGGACCCCCAGGCCGTGGCTGCCCCTCGGGAAGTCCATGCACAGTTTCACTGGAGCCAAGAGATGGCACTCCAGAAAACTCAGAAACAACGCTGGTGGGCCTGATGGGCACCCCCTGACTGGGGGTCAGCTGCCCGGCACTGGAAATGCCAATGGAAAGCAGAGATGCCTGGTGGTATGGTGACCAGCCAACAGGCAAGACCTGAGTGCTGGTGGGTTTCCCATTGACTGAACACCGTGGATAAATATTTGCCGGCCCTGTAGGTTTCCACAAAGAGAGCTCCTTGGTTTGGCACCCTGGCAGCACAGGGGCAATGCGGGCTGGGGTATAACGTGTTTTGACTGTGCTTGGCTGTCCCTCAGCACCAGACTGGCTGCCCTTCTTGCCACATGTGGCACCAGTGCTCTTGGGCTCTCCTTGATCAATAATGGAGATGGGCTCTTGCTTGGGGAGATGGCGGGGGTCTCGATTGAGGCCCAAATTAGGGTCTTTGTTCAGCAGCAGGGATGCAGGCACTGGGTTGGCCACTCCCACATAGGTGCCAGGAATGGTGCTGATCAGCGCAGTTGAGTTTTTCACCCAGGTGCTCGGGTCACCATTCCTCACGATCTCAGGAAAGATGACAAAGGGTGAGGAAGTGGAGCCCAAGCAGGAGGTGACATTGCTGCCAGCAGCCTGGGTTGTGCGCTGAGACCTAGACAGGACTGTGGAGAGGAGGGCCTTGCTGCTGGTGTGCACAGGGGTCAACACAGGCATGGGAGGTGTCTTGCGCTGGTTAGGCAATGGAAGCTTCTGACGGTTGGACTTGGAGGAGAGGTCGAGGGGCATCTCACTGCACTCGGGCGGAGAGGCCATCTCTCGCTCCAGCTGTGGAGGCGACTTGAGGGGAGAGAAGGTAACAGAAGTCCCTTCTGTTTGTTGCTCAGTGCCACCTGGCATCTTGGCAGGGTGTGGTGGGGCTGAGCTCCCATTGGGGGCTGGCAGCAAAGGCTGTGGAGTTGGAAGCACCTTGGCAGAAGCAGTGGCAAGGGAGGTATCTGCCAAAGGCCCAGGGGCCCCATCAGGCGCAGGCTGGGTGGTGGTACTGCCAGATGGGGAAGTGCAGGGGAGCCTGTTCACCTCCAGAGAGACCAGCTTGGAATCTGAAGTCAAAGGCCGGGCCACAGAGAATGCATATGGGTAGGACCGAAGCTCTGGAGAGGCCAGCACACCTGGGAGACACCTGTCCTGCAGGTAGGATGGCAGGACAGGGAGCGTAAGAGTGGATGAGACCCCCAGGGTGGTTGGAAGTGTGGCCACACTGAGAGGTTGCCCACAACTTGGAGGTGGGATGTATACCAGCGGCTGGCTTGGGGTCAGCACTGTCCCTGGCTGAAAGGACAGGGGGACTTTTTGCATAGCTGGTGCCTGAGCTGCAGGAAAACACACTCGACTCAAACTGAAGGAGGCCGGGATGGGTGCTGAGGTGGGAATGGCAGTTGGTGTGGCAGCCGGCATGGGCGTGGGGGCTGGAGTAAAGATTGGGGCTGGGGTGGGTGCAGGCACCGGTGTAGGAGCAAAGGCAGGAATGAGAGTAGGGGTAGAAGGAGGGCCAGAGGATGGGGTTGGGGTGGGCATCGGCACAGAAGGAGGGGCAGGAGCTGCTGGAGGTGTGGATGCTGGCATGGGAGCCAGAACTGGAGTGGGGACAGGAGCAAGGACCAAGGTGGGAGCTGAAGGAGGCACAGGAGCCTGGATCAGAGCCAAGGGTGCTGCTGAAACTGGGACCGAGAGAGGAGGAGGAGCAGGAGCAGACAGGGGAACCGGGCCTGAGGGAGGAGCAGATGCTGGTACAGGCACCAAGACTGAGGCTGAGACAGAAAGAGGGTTTGAATCAGAAATGAGAGTGGGCACTGAGGGTGGCGCTGGAGCCAGAGCCGGAACTGGTGCTAGGGGAGGGGAAGGAGCGGAAACTGAAGTGGCAACTTGAACTGGTACTAGTCCAGAATGGGGTACCGGGGCTGGGACAGAGAGGGGAATCTGGAATGGATCTGGAACAGATGGGGGGACAGAGGCCGAACCAGGTGCAGGACAGATAGGTGCCGGCAGTGGACTGAAGTTAGTGGTAACCAGAGGCAGGGTCCCCTCCACAGGGACTCCAGTTCCCAGAGTTGCCAAAATGAAAGTGTTCTTGTCTCCAACACCATGCCGAGAGTCCAAGGCCTTTACCCCGGCTGGTGAACAGTCAACCTGTTTGCTCATTTGGGTGCTGAGGGGAGTCCAGGAGCAGTCGGCCCTGCTATTGCCAGCCTCTGTGCCGTCAGGAGTGGGCAGCTTAAGCCCGTCTCCGGGGCTGCTTAGTGGCACCAGGAGGCCCTCAGCCTCTGCCGCATTCCCAGCATAGTCCATTTTTGGCTGGGGATCATCAGGCTGGTCTTCTGACTTGTGTCCAAGTTTTTCTGTCGCATTGCCATCTGGGTCTGCCCCCCGGGCATTGCTGCCACTTCCAACTGCTGTGAGCTCCACCTGCAATGACAGAACAGCATGTCCATCTTAGCAAGCTCCCTATGGCTGGTGCAAGTGTCCTGAGGCCCCTGAGAAGCAACTTCTGGTCCTTTCTGCTACTCAACCAAGTAGGTCTTGGCAGCAGCCAAGGGCAGCTGGCCAATCTCTGTCCCACCTATAGCAACTCCTGGGATATACCCTGTCCCTTCCTGCCCCGCCCCCTTGGGACAGCAAGCTGGGCATATTGCCAGGAAGCTCAGTTCCACCCTTCTGTCAGGCAGCATGTGGCACAACGTAGCCTCTTACCTTGGAAAAACTGCTGCTGACACAAAACTCCTGAGACCCAAAGTGCTGGCAGTCACCTGTCGTGGACTCCTCATCAGAAAGAGGTGCTCTTCTAGCATGGGAGACAAAAATCAGAGAGGGACAAGAGGCTCAGTCTTAGAGCCACCACTTCTTACACAAAAGACTCTGTGGCTGCCTGAGTTCTCACAAAACCTTCCTGTCTCACTCCCCATGGTGGCTTGAGGGAGACTGTAAGTAATGGGGTGGGGGCCAGGATGCAAAGTAGAATCTCCACACTCAACTTTGCAAGTTCCTACAAAGGAGTCTAAACTGACTAGGCTCCCCTCTTTGGGCTGCTTATCCTATTTTCTAGGGCTCTTGCCAGGAGTGGGGAGTATCTCTAGCACCTTCACCTTTTCCTTGGAGCTTACCAGTCAAGGTGACCATCCAGGATATACAGGACATTGTCCAAAGGGGAGAGGGATGTAAGTCACTGCAGGCCTCAAAAGGCATGCAAACTTTTTCTTTCAAATATGATCTTATTTCAAGACTATAAGAGAAGCTGGATGAAGATATCAAATGGGTAATCCTTTTCTAAAGCAAATCACCACCCCCATTGTGACTGTCCCTTCTTCTTTATATCTAAATCTGAATCATCACCTGTTCACCTGATGGACCTGCCTAGAGCCAATACACGTTTATCAGCATGTGCAATGATACACTTTCAAGGTCACTAGATCACTGGGTGCTGAGAGGCACTTTAAGGACACTACTTCCTTTCCTCCAAGGGACATATTTCCCCACTTTCTAGGGTTCTGCCCAGCTCTAGCCAGTGCCTTCCACTTTTACCCTTCTTCTACCCTTGGCCTACTGCCAGCCCCTGCCAGCCCTCAACTCTCTGTTCAGACTCTTAGCACCAACATAATTCTTTCCCATCCCAATGGGAAGCTCTCAAGGCCACAGATCCCAAATTCAGATTGGCAGACTCCAGGGGGAAGTGCTCAAGGCCAGAGAGCTGGTCCTGAAGAAGGAAAACTCAACTGTACCCCCATCTGCTCCTAAAGCTTTCTCCAATTTTCAGGTAAGAGTCCTAGAAAATGGTACATCCTGATAGGGTCGGGGAAGGATCACACTGGAAAGGTAAAGTTGAAGAGAGGACAAACACCCAAAGTTTGGTATGTTAAGAATAGCAAGAACATACTAACCCTGCCCTAGGAGAGGACACCACTGGGGCAGAATCCTGGATGTTCATGGCCAAGAGGGTGGTCTGGGTCAAAGAATAAAAGCCCCAACATAAATATTGCACTGGGTTTCCTGGATAGACAAAGCATAGGACTGCTCTGCATGTACCTGGGGAAATGAACCACATTTTGGTTCACACCTCTTCTTTGGAGCTTCACCTGAGCTCCAAGAAAGCCCCTGTAGAAGTCAGCCACCGCCTTACCAGATACCCTAGCCACAGGGCAGTCAGGGTGCCTGGAGACAACCCCAACGAGAAGGGGGATTGTTCTCCTAATAAATCCTCCCACCACTGCAACAGGGGCTCCCAACTTGTACCTGGGACAAGAGAAGCAAAAAAGGCAAGGGGGAATCACTGCAGGCTTCTCCCCATCTTTTCAGGGCTTCAGAAAGGGCTAATCAAGGGGGAAAGGCTTGTCCCCTTTAAAAGTCAGCTAGGCTGGCAGAGGTAGGAGGGTCCCACTGCTGGAAATGACTGTTGGTAACAAACAGAAATGACTGTAAGGCAAGGGCTTTTGAGGCAGTCAGGGGAGTCTTGAGGAAGGGGAGGAAGGGAGGGCCTGAGGGAAAGGGAAAACATATTTTCATGGCAACTCCTGAGAGACCAGAAAAGCAAGACCTATAACCAGCCTTGGGCCAGGGGGAAGCATGTTCCAACTAGACTTGCCAGGGATGACTTGGGGGGAGGATGGTGGTGGTGGTGAGGGGAAACTAGCAACAGCCCCCCTTCACCAATCTCACATGGGAAGGCACCATTTATTTACATTCTTTCCCCTCCTGGCCATACAAAAGGGAGCAGGCTACATGTTCATTCCCCTCTTGCTGGGTTCCCACCCCGCCTGAAATCATACTTGAAAGCAGAAACCCTGCTCTCACTAGCAAGCAGCCACCAGAGAACTGAAAAACCAGGACTAAAAAGCCGGATAATCAGGACTAGAAGCTGAGAAACTAGCAACGGCAGCAGGAGCAGCAGTCCAGCTACTCCAGACATACCCACCCCTGAGTGCTGGCCCCCAAGGCTCTGGGAAAATGTTGTGTGGCCACAGTTCTAATCCTCTTGAGGAGAAGGGAGTGCAGAGATGAGCAAACATTTGAATAGTTCCACTGAGAGAAGAACCTGGGACAGGAATGGTTTGTAGGGGAGGGGGGCCCTGGGATGAGCTGGGTTAACTGGGCCAGGTTAAGAGGATGCAGGTGAGTGGGAAGCAAGGGTCAAAGCAGCCTTTAGTCAGGACTGACAATCAATCCTGCTGTTTCTTCCCACCAGAGATGCTGGGCCGGTATGCTCAAGGCTTTGTTGAACTTAAACCAGAAATGGCCATGACCTTTCAGGGCCATTTTCCTAATTATTAGGGTATAGCACCACTATTAAACCAAATCTTTAACAATTTCTGTTGGGCCTGAACTACTCATAAGAAAAATGTACAACCCAGCAAGCACGTGGCTCATTACCACCCAGCCCCTGCAAACTTTCCCTGCCTCCAGTTCCACCACCCCTCGAAGACCACCTTCATTCCATCCAGGGCCTTCTACAAACACACCACCCTCTCCTACTGTCCCAGGGAAATATCAGCCCTCACCTCCAACTCCTACTCATCCCTCTAGCCTGGGTTCAGATGGTACTGCCTTTCCTTATTCCCCAGGAAGTTTGTCACTCTTGCATCTAGACTCCCTTAGGATCTCTATGTCCCACTCTATAGCACTTGCCATCGACATACCATGACTATTGGTTTGCTCTCATTGTGTTTAATAGATGTTTGAATGAAGGAACAAACTAATGTTAGAAAGAAAGAAAGCGAACAGATTTAGCTGGATGTTTGACTAGAGTTGGCCACAGGGGGCTAGTAGAAAACCCATGCCCCTATTCTGAGGTGCTCAACTGCAGCTAGTGAAGCCACATAGGCTTCTACAACATGACTTTGAGAGTGAACTCTGAGGTGTGGTTTTATACCCCAAATTTCTAAGTTCTACTCATTGGCAAGGGTGGAGAAAGATGGTTTTTAAATAAGGTGAGAACACATTTTGGAAATCAGGTGTAGCACAGTCTAGATTGGTGAGAAAGCGACAATAAAGGGTGGATGAGATCAAAAGTGACAATATTTAAAAGGTCATATTAACCAGATGGCATATTTGGTAATGCAGCATCCCAAGGAAGGTCCATAAGAAGAGATAATCAAATTTTTAGTCCACTTTCTGCTCGTTTCTTGGTGGGGATATAGAGTGGACAGTGGATCAAGTTTCACTGTCTACTATCCTTTAGTGGCACTGGGGATAGAAACCAGGAATGCTCTGACATTGAATTATATCCCCAGCCCCCCTTTTTAAATTTTGTTTTGAAAAGGGGTCTAAGTTTCCCAGGCTGGCCTTAAACTTGGTGTTCCTCCTGCCTCAGCTGCCAGAATCACTACGATTGCAGGCATGCACCCCCACACCTGGCTCTACTGGTTCTTTGAAGGCTCCGGTCCACATCTCTGCATCAAACTCACAACTACTTTAACAAGATCAACATAACCTGCCAGTGACTACTCACAGAAATAAACACCACCACCCTGTCTTGCCACAGATCATCTCCAGATTATCTAATAACATACCTCATATGCAAAGAAAAATACCTTTCTTCTGCTGCGTCCCAGGATAATTCTGTCTTATTTTCCTTGGTCTTGACTTTTGGATTGTAATTTAAGTTCCTTTTAAGTCCATCTCTAACTTATTCCTTGGTATGGAGAACATTAAGCTATCAGGCACTGATGACTTTAGAAAATTAAAAAAATGTTCTATTCTCCTACATTTAACCTCAGAAAAGTTCACGCTTTTCCAGTTAGTAACAGAAGAAAAAAGCAGATAAAAACACAGCGATGGTGGTGTAGCTCAGTTGGTAGAGTGCATGCTTAGCATTCCAAGGCCCTGGGTTCCATCCCCAGCACCACAAAAAAAAAAAAAGATAAAAACAAAGACACTAATTTTTTTTTTCTTTTTGGTATCAGGGATTAAACACAGGGTGCTTAACCACTGAGCCACATCCTCAGCCCTAGATATATTTTATTGAGAGACAGGGTCTCACTGAATTGCTTAGGGCCCCACTAAGTTGCTGAGGCTATCTTAGAATTCGCAATCCTCCTGCCTCAGCCTCCTGAGCCACTGGAATTACAGGTGAGTTCTCCTGTTCTCAGAAACATTCTTTTTCCCCTCAAAATTACCGATATTCCCAGGATGGTCTTGAACACCAATACTTCTTAGATTCACCCAACGAATGCCAGATCTTGCATCCCAGGAAAAGTCTGTGTTCTAGGTAATTTCTCTGGTGGGTTTGAATTTAAATCATCAATGGATTGAAAATGGCAGCAAAACATCACCAACTCTGGAGGAGCCAAGCCTTCTCAAAAAATGGGAGAGGCACTGCACCTACCACAGATAGCTCTTTGCCAAGGGTTAAGAAAGTCAATATAAAATCTACAGGTCATTTTGGGTGCCCTTGGTATGGAGCATGATCAGGACATGCCAATCCTGGTCAACCAAATAGTGTCTGATGAGTAGAAAACTGAAAATATACAGGATCACTAACGTTCAACTTTGTGTTAAAACTGTTCAGCATTCTCACTGGGCATGGTGGAACATGCCTATAATACCAGCAACTCTGGAACCTGAGGCAGGAGGATTGCAAGTTCAAGCAACTTAGGGAGGCCCTAAGCAACTTAGTGAGACCCTGCCTCAAAATGAAACATAAAAAATACTCAGTGGTTAAATGCCCCTAGGTTCAATCCCTGGTACCAAAAAACCCGAAAACAAAATCCTGCTTGGTAGTCTCATCTCCCTTTGATATTTCATAGGGAACTTACTGCAAATCTTCGTTAGCCTCATGAGGCAGGAAAGCACTGACCACAAGAACACCCGCTATCAGTTCCTAGTACAAAACCACTCAATGAAACCACCTTTCATCCAGTCCTAGGTCAAGGACTGAAAATACCTTATACTTATCCTTGAGCACCAAACTTTGACATAGGAAATAAAAACTGCAATTACCTGGGCTTCCCCTTACTTCTACAATTGACAGTTCTTAATGAGTAAACAAATAGTAGCTGGCAAAAGTCATCTGCTGGCCTCCTCACCTTTATGTGAACAGGACAGCTTGGCAGAGCAGGTCACTCTCATAGCCCCAACCCCAACCCATCTTAGTAAAATTAGAAATAAGCAAGAGTCTCCTCCCCAGACCCTACAACATGCAGCTACCTCTCTGTGACCAGGTACTGTTCACTGGAAGCTGGCAGCAGCCACCTTGGAAGCCTCCTCACCTCTCCTCGTTGATGCCACACATGCGAATCCGGTCAGAACTAGTCCAGTTGTGCACGCCGCTGTAGAGCGGTGCTGTAGAGATCATGACAGCCACTCACCACCAGATAGGACCTGCTGTGGCCACTCCCCCTGGGGAAAAAGAATCCCAAAAAGTCAAACTCAGAACAAGAACAGCTGCTTTACTTACCTTTTACACAGAAACGTTTAAGTAATTATAGCATCAAAACTTTAAAGCAGTCTTTCGCAAGCCAGCCTGATATGGAAAATGAAGGTCCAGATAGACAAGAGCAAACCAGCTTTCCAGGAATCCATGTTTCAGGATGGAGATGAGGACACTTTTAATCACCTAGAGTGATTTTTAAATTATCTTCAAAGACATACCTGCTTGAGTGTTCGAAGAAATTCAATCTATTGCAGACAAATGAGATGACAGTATATTTTCTGCATATATTTAGCCTAAGCAACTACAATTATAGGGTCATACCTATATATGAGCAGCGAGCATATTGAAAGATGACTGGGGTCCAGGCTCAGTGGTGCACGCCTGTAATCCCAGCAGCTGGGGAGGCTGAAACAGGAGGTTCACAAGTTCAAAGCCAGTCTCAGCAACTTAGCAAGGCACTTAGCAACTCAGCAAGACCCTGTGTCCAATAAACTATTTTAAAAAGGGCTGGGCATGTGCTCAGTAGTCGAGCACCCCTGGGTTCAACCTCTAGTACCATGACTGAGGGTCTTTCTTATCTTCTTTTTAAACCATGGATACTAAAGGATTTGAGGGATGCAGCCAATTTAAGGTTTCCAAAGAAACTACATGCTTTCTTTCTAAGCCCTTTTGAAAGTATTCTCTTCTGCCTCCAAGTTGAGCATGATACATTTATCTAATGTGGCAGAAGGCTCCCTCCAAATCAGGTGTAATACTTCTTGTACTCTGACCATGAACAAGCAAACAAACACACCAACAAAGTTCCATCAAAAACCCCGTTTCTCTCCTTGGCCCTTCCTATTAGTCTGCCATCCCATGACCTACCACTCCTTTCACCAGCCAGTGCCCAGCTCTTGCTGTTGACAATCATGGCACAGTCAATTCACCTTCCAGAAAAAAAAGACGTATCAAGAAACAGAGCTCTATCCAATAAGCTTGTCTTGAAACCCTTCAACTTATTAGCTAAAACTCTTATTCACCAAAGTTCAACTGAACATAAACTTACAGTGATCAGAATTCTCTGCTGTTTTCCACTTTCCAAAGAAGCAAATTATAGTAAAGGGCAGTCACGTCAGGGATTTGCTCCATTTATACTTTTTTGATAATTCACTTATTCACTCAACAAATAGCTACTGAGCTCCATGTGCCAGCACTGACATAGGTACTGGGGACTGAACAAATAACAGACAAAAATCCCTGCCTGCAGAGTGCTTATTTTGTTTTGTTTTGTTTTGCTGATAGTGGGGATTTAACCCATGGGCCTTTATCACTGAGCTACAAGGGTAGCAAGACTTGGTCTTTCTAAGTTACCTGTGTGGCCTAGAACTTACAATCCTCCTGCCCCAAGCCTCCCAAGTCACTACAATTACAAGTGTATGCCACTGGGCCTGGCTTGGGGTGCTTACATTCTAGAGGGACTAGATGGACAATAAGCATGTTATATCATTCTGTCATAGCATGTTAGAAAGTCTACAACACAGGCTAAAGGGCATGGGGACAGTGTAGGATGTGTATGAGCAAATGGGGATTTGAAATAGGGTGATCAGGGTAGGCTTTGCTGAGGAAATATTTCAACAACCTGAAGGGGGTAAAGAAACAAGCAATGTATATATTTGGGGGAAGAGCATCCCACTGAGGGGAAAGAATGTCCTAAGGCAGGAGGCTGCCTGCTAAAGTCAAGGAAGAACTAAGGAGATCAGTGTGGCTGGACCTGAGGGAGGGAGATGGGAAGGGAGGATGGGAGAGATGTATCCACTAACTCCCCTCCTTGGCCTCCTCCTACCCCCATGTCTGTACCAACCTTGGGACCCTGCTGCCCTTGCCCCTTTTCTTTATACTTTTCCCTCCCCTGGCTTTCCTGACCCTGTTCCTGCTGGCTTCTCTAGGGTCCTTCTTTCCTGCTACTCCCCTGCCAAATCTGGGAATTCACTGAGGTCTAGTCCTCACCTTGCTCTCTGTCTCTCCTCACCTTTACTACCATTTCTTCACCTCCCTGCTTTCGAAGGCTCATCTCCTCTCTTCCTACCTCCTCCTCTGTCTTCCTTCTCCCTTCCCTCTCAATCTCTCCTCCCTATTTCACTCTAATTCCTCCTCTTCCTCTTCCCTCTATTAATCTTCCTACTGTCTCTCTCCCCCCTTTTCTCTTCTCTCTAGGCACAGTCCCCTCTCCTCCAATTTTCTCTCCCTTTCTACCTCTCTTCCCAGCCTTTCCCAGTTTTTTCTCCCCCTTCCCAGTTCCCTCAGGCTCTCCTTTAGTCTTTCCTCCTCCTTCCCTTTCTCCCTCTCTGGCTGTCCCCCATCCACTCTGTCTCCATATCTCTGCCTTCAGTCTCCCTGTCTTATCTGTCTCCACCCCCTTCCTCCCATTTATCTTTTTCTGGCTCTTCCCCAACACCTCTCTCCCTGCATGTGTATGTCAACCTTGCCCCTTCTCTCAGGTATAAGCTCCCAGTTTCAAGCCACTCTTGGGTGTGCTGATGACTCCCACATCTCTATCTCTAGTCCTGACCTCTCTCCTTAAGCCCAAAGCAGAATTCCCAGCTGCCAGCAGCTCACCATTAATTGGATGTCCACCAAGCCTCTAACACAATGGGTCTCAAACCAGACTCGTTATCTGTTCCCATAAACTTGCCCCCCACCCCCCATGCCCAGTGTGCATCACATTTCCTATCTTAGTTAATAGCACTGTTCCCAAGCCTGGAAATTTCTTCAACTCCCTCTTTCTACCGCCCAGATCCAATCAGGAGTCAAGCCTGGATAATGCCATCTCTCTCCTCTCTTCTACCCCTCTTGCCAGTACCCTGGTGAAAGTCCTCATCATCTCTCCCCAGGAATACTACACTAGCCTCTTAACTGCTCCCTTGGCCTCCCATCTCTTGATTCTACAATCAATTCATCTTCTAAAGCACCAGTTCGATCAGGCTTCCCCCTCCCTCATCAAAAGCCATCAGAATCAAGCCTGCATTCTTTGCACAGCCTTTGGGGCCCTTAGGATCTGATCTCAAGCCTCCTCTCTAGTCTCTCTTCTGCAACATCCTGCCATTTCCCTGCCACCCCCTTCCCTAAAATGACCATCCAATTTCAGGACTCTACTGCTTCCTTGCTCTGAAATGGCCTTTCCCTGTGTCCCCTCTTCCTCTGTCATCCATCAAGGCCTAGCTTAAATGTCATTAAGAAGTCCCCCCAGCCCAGGCCCCTGATCAGTTAACTCCTTCCTCTCTGGTTCTTCTCAAACATTTAATTCCTACCTCTAGTCCAGCACCATTTTTCCTCTATAGTGTGATTAGTTGGGGTTATTGGCATGTCTGTCCCCGCCACCAGATGATCAGCTACTCAAGGTAAGAAATATCATCCTGCCTTGTCTTTGGTTCCTCTGAAATACCTTGTACATAGTAAGTGAACTCAGAAAATGCACGTTATTAGGGTTGAGGTTGTGGCTCAGTGGTAGAGCGCTCACCTAGCACATGTGAGGCACTGGGTTCAATCCTCAGAACCACATAAAAATAAACAAATAAAATAAAGATATTGTGTTCAACTACAACTAAAAAATATTTTTAAAATAAAATGCATGTTATGTGGAACTGAATTCTGGATGAGATTTGAGGTGATACACTGAGAAATAATAAGACACAAAATCAACTAGGAAAATAAAGCATCCACCATGCTGCTTACTATATATTTATTTATTTAAATATTTATTTTTTAGTTATAGGTGAACACAATATCTTATTTTATTTTTATGAGGTGCTGAGGATTGAACCCAGTGCCTCACGTATGCTAGGTAAGCACTCTACCTCAAAACCACAACCCCAGCCCCACTTGCTTACTATTAAAAAAAAAAAAGCTATTAGTTACCTATAGCACACCATTTTTGAAGCTGCCTGATTTCTGCCTCTGTTCATCATCTTTGAGCTATTTTGCACCTCTATAAATTGCAGGTAACTGATGGATATGCAAACTCTATCTTGTCCTATAGCATTTGGATTGACTTCCTTCTCCACTGTGGAAAAACCAGTTTTGCCTCTATTTGCAATTCCATTCCTTTACTCCAGATAAATTTGTGCTTTTTGACTTTTTCTTTGAACTGGCTATAACATCTGTCTGGTTCCCTTGTTGATTAATGATTAAAATAAAATCTTTAACACATTTTCATTTTTATATATGTACAAGAGTCATGACTTTCTACCTTTTTCTAAAAACTGTCTTTTAATGTTACTAAGACAGAGTTAGCAAAATTTTAGGAAAAAAAAATAACAAGGACCCCATTACCTGAACATCCTGATTAATGAAGGTGTTATTATTTCTTATACTATCTTGGAATAGCCCCAGATTAAGAAACAACAGCTCAGCTTGTTGGCTGATACACCAGGTACTTTTTCATCTTTTTTCTCTGTGAAGTATTAGAAATCTCAGGCAATAGATGGGCCACTATCAACATAAGATGAATTTCAAAAATAAGTCCAAGTTTTAGCTGCTACCTAAATATCTGTAGGCAGCAGATATGTCAGTAACCCAGAGTTTTCATTCTCAGGTATGTTTTTGTTCTGTTTAAAGAGGATTAGTAGTTTATAAGGTCTGGGACAGAATTCAGAGGAGGAATCCCAGCATTTGAAAACAGATCAATATACAAACTGTACCAGAGATAGAGTTTTTAGGCCAATAAAAAAGGAAAACCAAGTTAAAATGAAGCATGTCAACAATGCACATTTTATGACTACCTAGAGAGCAAAACTGATACTGAATGCCCCTCCATTTTCACAAGATCTTAAAGATGGAGCATCCTCTTAAATCTTTGCCTCCCAAATTTGTCATTATTTTGTCAGAGCAACATCCCTGCCCATCTAAAGCTCACTGTTACTAATCAACAGTAGATTTGGTTTGGGCGTGTAGCTCAGTGGTAGAGCACTTGCCTAGCATGTACAAGATCTTGGGTTCCATTCCCAGCACTGCAAAAACTAAAAACTACAGTAGCTTTTGCGGATGAGGGGAGGGGTAGAAAGACAGGCAACAGAACACTGAGCTAAGTGGTCTACATAAGAAGGCAAGATCCTTGTGGTCTAGCCAGAGAGAAAGCCAAGTAAATGTCTAGGGAACATGTTCCTATTGGCAAGAGAGGAGTCATGACGGTCAATGTAAACCAATGTTTCCCAAGCCAGAATCACTGAAGGGCTTATTTCAAATACCAATTTGTAGGTCTTGGCCCCAGACATTCTGATTCAGTAGACATAAGGTTTTGTTTTCCAGCATCATGTCCTATCAAGTTATTAACCACTTAACCATATACTACTCAGGGGAGGTGAACGAAATGGGAAAACCTTACAAATACACTACATGCCACATTTGGTAGGTTCTGCTGGTGTACTTTCAC